ATATATTTATAATATACTATGTATATTATATATATTTGAAATATTTTTAACTTACTGTAGATATCTCGTTTTTTTATATGTATGACAGTCGATAATTTTTCTTATAACTATAATTATAATTATAACTAACTATGTTTGATATTTGCACATGTGTATGCGTATCGATTATCGCATTTAAAAGAAGAATTACAGAGACATTTTTTAACTAATAATTTAATTTATTTTTAGATTTTTTATTTTCTACGAATCTATTGGCAAATACACAAGACTGCATATTTACAATCAAAAATATTTAGTACAGCGGCATCAAAGAGAGCCCACGATTTAGTTTCAACGAAGTAAATTGATTATTGCATCGATCGCAACATCGTAAAATACGATACCGATGTGCGTACGATCTTAAAAAAGAATAAATAATATTAAAATTGTGATACGCAAATATTGGCATATCTTAATTATTGTTAATTTTGATAATAAGATATTTTTTTATAAATTAAGTACCAATGAAGTGATAATGAATGCTATTTTCTTTGATAAATATATATTGTTTATTAAACACGCATAATATGTAAATCTTACTGTAGAGAAAGTATCCATGGATATCACGAATATCTTTCCTGCTGTTAGTACACAAGGTTCTCGCGTTTTCATTATCATAAAGATCAAGATTTTCCTTGTTCGAAATGAGGTTTGATACCATGCTATATTCATTCTGCAAAAGAAAAGATGTTTCTTATATCTAAGAATATTTTTATACGCACACATGTACGAAGTTAAAGTTAATTTTAAACAAAATTTCATATTTTTTTCATATTTAGTTTCCAAATTAACAGACAAACTCAATTCATTTTATTAAATATAATAAGTTCTTGAGTTTATTATAAAATTTATAATTATTATTTTACACACATTAATAAATAAATATATATAATGTCCTAAAAAAAGTTACTCTCTCTTTCGGATATTTTACAGATACATGCGTCACGTTATTACATTTTAGCATTCTTAATAACATAAAAACATTTGTACGTACAAACTAATATGAATATATATGCTGTGATCGATTAGACTTTGCGCTTGAAAACTCTCGAAAAATAGATGCACTAATAATGCGCACGCAAATGTTATCTGCCTTAAAAATTCTTCCGGCTTGTTCATGTTTGTCACAGCCTAAGTAAAATTAATATAGAATAATAAAATGCAAAATAATTAATGTTATGATCTTACATTTATACATTTTTTCTAATTAATTTTATTAGATTATTTATATTGAAATATTTTAGTACATTTTTATTTTTGCAATAAATTAATATATCCATACATTGGTAATTTATTATTTATCAGCACAATATGATTAATAGCATCATTATTACAAATATGAATAAAATTGGCATACCGTAACTCCTGTCATACTCATGATAAGCATATTAAAACCTGCTAGTATAAGAAACATTTGACTGAATGTAGCTTCGACGAGATTGGCGAACCTTTGTACATAAATATATACGCAAATTTTAGGTAAAAATATAATATTTAAATTAAAATGTTTTAAAAAAGCATATATATATATATATCTAGTAAACATATATCGTTTAAGTACATTGTGATATAGTTAATTCTAGTGAAAGATACACATGAAGCAATATAAAATAGTAAACTGACAGTGTATGCTATATTACAGTGCAAACCTTAAAGCATTTTTATGCGCATGAATGCTTTTTACAATATTTTTATATGGTTCATCATCTTTTACAGATGGTTTAAGATTTATCTCTAGATTATCTTCCTTTATTATATTTTCTAGTTGTTGCCTAAATCAATTGATACAATAGTTTTAAAATTGTGATTCTATTTATATTTAATAATATGTATATGATAAATACTCTATGTCAATTCAATATATTTTAATAGGAATAAATTTTGTGAGATTCTTACCCGATGATCTTAAATAGTCCGCAAATATGTTGTATCATGATTACATACATAGTGTCCGCTGCAATGGCTATGCTTACGCAAATAATAGCTGTAGCATATCCATGAACTAAGATGGGAAAGTAATATTTGTCCATATCAATGTAGTATTCGACCCGGTGTAGTAATGGTCGAGCTGTATTATTTGAAGTAGAATGCAGAAACAATGGTTGTAACAGTGGCACTAGCATAAATAACACCAATGCAGAATAAAAAGCACCTAAATAGATCAAATATTTTTACTTATTTTTTTTTTTTTTTTTTTAATTTATACTGTGATATCAAAATAAAATCGCTGATTTATGTTTTAAAAGAGAGAGCAAGAGGAAGAGACAAGTTTTTATTCTAGAAAATAAGATAAATTATCTCATATATTTTATATATTTCAAAATGTCGAAACAAAACACTTAAAAAAATTGTCCCATTTTTATCTCATTTTATCTTTTTCCTTTAATTATGTTTTAATGTGATTTTATAGTGATTTTAATGAAGTGTTTGTCGCGTACGATCGAAGTTATATGACGGCTATTATAAGCAAAGTAATATTTATCGAGACAAATATTACTTTGCTTATAATTATCGCTTGTACGTAATTTTCTTTTTTCTTCGTTGGATAAATTTATTTTACTTACTTGCGTATATGATTGTAAATGTTCGCCCATTTTGCGCATAATTATTAAGAATTTTAATGTGGGTCGATTTCATTAGCAATTGCCAATCGCTCTGTATTCGATCAAAAAGTGCTTTGATCTGCAATTGAATTTTATGTTTAAAGAAAGAGGGAGAGATATCCTAAATTGCAAAATATTTTATATGATTGAGATTTTATAAATACTCTCGCGCTTTAATTATTTAAATAAGTGACACAATTAATACTATCTCGTAAAGATATAACGAAGTGTAATAAAATTATATATATATATTATATATATAATTTAAAATATCGTGATATCACATACCTCCCTTGCCTTTAATATACAAGTGATTAATTTTACTCCACATCCTATATCGACTACTAATGGTGAAAGAGAATCGATGAATATATCGATATCTTCAATCGAGAGCAAACCACATATCTACATTTAAAATATAGTATAGTATAAGTTATATAGTTATAAACATAAAACATTTAATATTTAAACTGTCTTTGTAACAACTGGCTGCCACACCAGATAAGTCATTTCTTGATATAAAAAACATTGATAAACTTCTTAATCAATGAGTAATATCAAATTTGTATTTAAATGTGCATATGTCAGTATACCTTGGCGACAAATTGCGTACCAGTTAAAGACACTATAATGACAATAATAGCGCTACTACTCCTTTTTGTTTGATATGGCCATTGGCCTATGCACGACAGGAGAATTTTATTGATTCTGTAGTTGCGTCCATCAAAGAATTGCATTTTGCACGTATCAAAATAGAAGAACTGAACGTAGTGGAACAATATATTCAGAGAGGACTGCACGGAACTGCCATTATCCTGCTCCTACATTGTAAGATAATTGCCTTTAATAATTCTGTTTAGAAACATCGGCACTATTACGAAATTATTTTAATCGCTCGCTTATAGCTGCAGTCATTAGATCAAAGACACTATCAAACATAAATATTATGTTCTTTGAACTGAAGGTTTTGCTTCTGTTCTTTAGTTTTTCGTTGTTCTACGAGACCTCGGCATCTCCGCATCTCTTTCGCGTATGACAGTAATACAAAAATTATCATCTTATACTTTAAATGTGTTACAAAATATTTATATTTAATCTCTCTCTATAATGTTTTTCTTTTCTTTTCAAAAACTTGATATTTTTTTATATTTGCGAAAGCGTTTTTTTAATTTCCTCAAATATTTTAATCCATATTTGAAATTTTAAGCTAAAGTTTTCATGTCGCGTGTTTATATATTAGAAAAAAGTGTATATATTTTTTATATAAGAAATATTTAGTGGTGTTATTACATTTTTATAACCAAATATAACATTTTTATTACATACGAACATTGCATTCGAATTGCGCAATTTTAGTAATTTTGAAAACTAAACGAAACGTTCTCTTGTCAATCGCGCTCATCTGTCGGTTGTTACGTATCTAAGGCTTTTTTGGACACGCGCATTTTTACAAATGTCCCGTTGGTTTTAAATGTCACAACAGCATCTATTTGTATGATATATATTTTTACCGCTTTTTATTCCACGTGACGGAAGCGCGAAAAAGAAGTGTACCGTCGTTATTATGTTAATCCTGCGAGTTATTCTTTGAATGTGACACGTATCATGCGAAGAGGCCTCGCACGTTATGACGTAAGTATAGTGCAAAAAAACTTACTTTATAAACTAATAATTTTTAAGTTTTGTTTGCAAAAAAGAATCCTGTATATATACATCTATTTTCATCTCTTATTTGAAACTTTTGCAGAGGCAGTTCGATACTTCTGCGACCGCTGAAGACGAATCGTGTTTCTCATCCGAACTTGATCTACTAAATCCAAAGTAATATTTGATAATTCCTTTATATCTAAAAGAAACTAGAAGTTATGTATTCTTATATGTTACAAGAGTGACACAGTCTTGTCATAGTTTGCGATTTGCGTGTCGAGCATCAAAGAACGAAGAGAACGATCGATTAAATCTTCTCGAATTATCGTCGAGATCATCGTATTGCTATCAACAACCGGTCGTTAATAGACAAATCATTGAAGCAAAATTACGTAAGTGATGTAAGTGTAAATGAAATTCAAATACGCGAGTCCGAAATATATTGTAGTTAGAAAGTTTATGTATTTTGTACGAGGAAAGTGCCTGATGGGTTTGTCATAGAATGATCTTGAAAAAAGTTTTAAATTTTTTTATTTGCCACGATCCGTTTTTTACACACGTGTCATTTCGTGGAGACACGTTTTAGTTACTAGAGAGGCCGACCAAGTTGCTACGTCGGAACGTATCTCAAATATTGAATCTTCCTTATCACACCTTCGTTTGAGAAAACATGAGGTAAAATAATATATAAAATACATTTGTCAACTTAACAATATTTAGGATTCAAACTATTTTACTTAAAAAGTGTTTTAATATTATATAAATTGTCACATTTGCATCTTTTTTTTCGAGGTAAGAATATAACATATCTAAATTTTTTATTAAAAACATTTTTTTATTTTATAAAAAAAATTCTACATAAGCATAAGTTCGGTCTCTAATATCGATTAAGGTATAATGAGTTAAAAATATATTATTATCTTAGTGAATAAATATTTTTTAGCCGCAAGTAACTTTTGAAGAAAAGCATTCGAGCGAGGGTGAAAGATTTGATAGTAAATTCAACGAGAAACTTTGGTAATTAATTAAAAAACTTGAATCGTTTAAAAATCATACGTTCTCATTCATGGTCGCCTTAAAATTGTGGCGCAAATCTCGTCTCATTATCTCGTTTAAGGCGCCTAATGTATTGTGCTGACAACAGGAAGGAAAATAGCACGCCACGAATCGTAAGGGTCATTAGACAGAATAGCAGGAGAAGTAAGTTATTATGACAAAGTTAGAATTTTTAGAAATTGATTCAAATGAAAGTTTTTTCCAGTCGATCCTAAAGCAGATCGATCGACAACGTTCGATCAGCCGCGAGCTGGCAATAGTAAAAACAGCGTCGTTGTGCTTTATCACGGAAGATCCAGCACTCCTCCGTCCTCCTCCTCGAAAACTTTCGTGCGACTTTCGAAATCTGATAAAACAATAGCAGAAACACCGCGCGTATTGCGATCGGAAGTAGCAAACCCCGCATCACCTGACAAGTGAGTGAGTGAGTAGATCTTGGAGTGCAGTAGAAATTAAAAAAAAAAAATTATTACGTGAAATTATTAAAAGAGAAAGATATCTTTATGCGGAGAAAATCTTTATAAAAGGACAAGGATCATAGAAACTCCGGAAAGTCTGTCTCCGAGATATCCGCTTCGTCGACGAAGGACTACTTCCAGAAAATATCATCGTGTATCGAGACAACAGCATTCTTTGAATGTAAACATTTATCACGCGAATCGAGTCGAACGAATTGTGTCACCGCTGCAACGTCATCACTGGACTGCATCTAAAAGGCAGATAGAAATAGATCCCAACTATAACAAATCGAAGTGTATAGTCGAGCAAAGTACAGATCCTATCAAGTTGCAAGACAAGAAAATTATTTATTACACCAACGAGAACGGGACTAATCGAAGGTCACAGAAGTGCAACGAAGAAGAGAGACTTTGGAAAAAACAATACTCGTTGGTTGAAGCTGCTGCTTCGAAACTTATGGACCATCGTCCAAAGTAAGTAATATTCGAGATAAATATTCGGATAAATAATAGTGCAATTGACAACTGTTATAGTCCAATAGGCTATACATAGTTAATATTAATTCAGGTTAACATTAAATTTGTAATAAAAAAGATACACAGCTATAAAAGCGTTGACTGTGCAAAGCGCTGAAAGAGTCTCGACTTTGGACCTGTTTTGCTTGTACTTCCGCAATTTTTTCGTTGATATTTTCGCAATGTCTTAGCTTGTATTTTCATAATATTTTTGCTTCCATGCGTGGCTCGCTGCGTCAGCGCTTCGCTATCTTTTTTGTTACCAATTTAATACAATTAATATTAACGTAATATTAATGTTTATTAATATTAACCTGTAGTAATATTAATTGTGTACAGCCTTTTGGGCTATAACATAACGTAATAATAACTTTGTGCAGACAAGTGGAAGACGTCAAAAACCAGAAGCAATCATTGCCTTGCTCGAATGTAGATTTTCCGCTGCAACAAGCACAGACGTTGTTTCCTGAGAAAACAAACGTTAATTCTACATTCATCAGCGTGAACGAGAGTAACGAGGCGAATCGCGTGTTTCCCTTTCAAGCTACACCCAGCGGTAATCTCAAAATCATCCCGAATCAGGTAAGAAAGATTCAGCAGATGTTACAACAGGAGGTTTTCTTTTTTTACAAAAATGTCGGCCTCGAAGCAAACGTAGCATAGTCGTTTTAGGTTGTTTTCGAGTCGAAGAAATTTAGCGTTCTAGTTGCCGATCCGCGACATACGAAAGTTAATGTTAAGACTGAGCTTAATCGATCCGGTGACGACGTTGTTTCCGGTTCCTCGAATCGGACGAAATATATCGATCTTCCGCCTGGCATCTCGCCATCGACGATCGATCAGTTGCAGGTAGAATGTTTTTTAATTTTTAATTTTTGATTATTTAAAGCAGTATAATTTCTCAATTTTATATAGTATTGGAAAAAATAACTGGTTTAATAATATATGAGGACATTTTTACAGTCACATTCTTGTAATATTTAAATATTATTCGATCGTACAATAGGCTCAGAAAAAGTTACCTTATATCGAAGCAAGATACAGATCACAAACGCAGCCAAGTGCGAAATTTAATTTATCAAAAATGGAATCGGTACAACAAACATCTTATCAATTACCTCCGATGAACGAAGTACCACTCGCTTCGTTAGTTTTCTTAAATTTGCTATTTGTAAATGCAGTACTTATATTTTGTTTGGATAATATTTATTTTTTTATTTTAAATTTCGCGTTTCTTTCCGTTTTGAGCAGGCTAGGGTTTACGAATGAGCAACCGATCAATTGGGACAATATAATTCTTCCAGAGAAAACCGATTTGTATCAGGAATTAGCTAGACGTATTACGAACTACAAGTAAGAAAAGAGTTTTAAATAATAAAACTTTTTAAATGCAAGATTTTTTATATTTATCGCGTCGCAGGTATTAAATATTAAAAAAAAATAACTTTGATTTTATTTAGCAAAGAAAACATTTAGCTTATATAGTTACATTTAAATTTTGGTTGTAATCTTAAGATTTTCAACAGAATGTTGTTTCATTAAAAATGAAAACAAATATTTTTTTCTCTTGTTTTGCCAAGAAATGCCGACTGCATTGTCCGGATTGATCCGGATGAATTTCACTGTCATCTTCTTGTTCTGCAAAGTTACAGCACGTTTTTCGATGAGAAAAATTACAAGGATATTAACTTATCTGGCGTAAGATTTTATCTTAATTTTATTTGATCATATTAGATAAAAGGAGCACTTTCAAAATCTATCTTTGGAATTTAAAGAAGGAAATCGGCTGTTTCGAATTTGAAAAAATTTATAATATAAGCATGATTTTATATAAGAAAAAATAAGAGATAATACTACATATCAATTTAAGATAAATTAAAATGCGATTGTTAATTTATATAAAATATATAGAGCAGCGTGACTTCCAAGGCTTTTTCTGTTATTTATGATTGGATGATAAGTCCAATCAACGATAGTTATCAATTGTTACGAAGAGATAACATTTTGGAAATTTTTATGGCCGCGCAGTATCTTGGCATTAAAGGTGTGATATTAACTTATATCTGTTTCATTTTGTAAGATGATAAATCTTTTTTTTTTGAAGATAGAGACAATGAGAATTTCCAAAAAAACAAAAAAAAAAAAAAAAAAAAAAAATATATAATATACAACACACGGACGCGGTATTTATGCTAAAAATATAAGCATTGTATTTTATGAAGAGTTAGAAGAGCAATGCTGGGCATTCATTGATAATGACGAGCTTTTCTCCGAGGATACTGCCTTCTTGTTATATTTGGAAGCAAAAAAGATCGGGAACACCGCAGTAATGGAATTGATGGTGCCGAGGATCATGAAATTTTTCTTGATGCTCGTTAGCACAAAAGATTTCTTGGAATTGTCAGTGGATGAATTGTGCTTATTATTGAAATCCAATTATATTTGCGTTAATAGGTATGAAAAGATTAGAAGAATATCAATTTTTTAAATATATAAAAAATTATATAGTTTAGTCATTAAAAAAATATTGATATTTAAAATCTTATTAAAGAAAAGAAATAATATATAAATTGAAAAAAAAAGGTTTTTTCAATGTAGTAATGAGTTATATAATATCCAACTATTTTTTTCATTAGCGAAATAGAGGTTTTAATGTCTGCCGTGAGATGGTTGATGCACGATTGGAATGAAAGGAAGCAATACATGTTGGAAGTGCTCAAGTGTGTTAGATTTGGGCTTATAGCTCCATGGCAATTGGTAGATGTCAAAAGAAATCCTGAAAATCCAGAATTTATGGAATTGATGGTCTATCCTGAAGTACAAAAAATGGTGGACGATGGGCTCGCGTACGAATTCTATTTATAATTATAAAACCCATAAAACAATTTATATATAAAACTCGTATAGATTAAAGTATAAACAAATTGTAATTAATATCAAATTCTGCAGGTTTGTTATTATAAAATATTGGTATGGTAATCAAACGGAAGATTACTATCATTGGATCGACTTACTTGGGCTCAGCGAACCGATTAATCGTAATTGGGCAGGACAAGATAAAGTAATTTATGCTTTATTAATTCAACAAATAATATTTTTTATTTGACATGCAATGTATTGTTGCGAAAATTATAAACTATGTCTAAAGTATAATTTCTCGCTTCAGAATTATGTTACCTATCGCGAATTTCTCTTGTATCTCGAAGAATATCAAAAAACAAATATTTCGGAATTAAAAACGCGAAAGACACGCACGATACCCACCCCTCCTAATTCTCCTCCTAAAGATTGCTCATTGTTATCGTCGGAAAGAACAGGCGTAGATTGCAATCAAAACCATTGTTGTGTAGAATCGCATCCTTTAGGTACAAATTGATACAAATATGTAATGTGAAAATTAATGCAAAAATTAATATTGTGATATGCACATATATGAAATTGATATCACTTAATATTTGCATTAAAATCGTCAATTTTCACGCTTCGTTTTAGAACAATATAGTACGACACAGATTAGAGCACCGAAAAAGTGCGTGCCAAAAGTCGCAACCTCATCAGGCATAATGATCCCACCCGAAATCTTGACGGAATGTTTTAGCAATATGGGCAGAAGTAATAATATAAGAGTGGTAAATTTCAATATGACTATTTGATTGAGAAATTCATTTCATTTTACATCTTGTATATGAAATCTTTAATAAAATTGATCGTTTAGTGTATATATATACTAATTTATCAATTTTATACATTGTATATAAATCGATTATTATAATTATAATCCTGTTTATATTTTTATAAGAGAATTGTCAATATAGATATCAATATAGATATTAGGCATACGTTATCGTACGGCGATTTATTTACAATTAAATATTTTTATTCTTCTAAAAATAATGTTATATCTTTTTTTCATAGAACAAAACGCAATGCGATGGAAATAGAAATAGTACACTTGTTCAAGATTCAAGATATCGTGGAGCAGGTGAATCGCCAAGAAAATCTTTAAATTTCTTAAAAAATGAACAACATATGTACAAACATCATCAGCGCGAGATTTCGATGGTATGAGTGTTTGGCATTAAAAATACATAAAAGAAACATAAAAAAAATTAAAGATTAATATGAATGAAGATTGTAGAAAGAGTTAAGAAAATCTTGATCAACGATGTTTTTTTTTATTGTGTTCAATGTTTCATGTTTTTCGTGCTAAAATACTGCTGCATGCAACAAAAATGAGATCATGCAACATACTTTTACATACTTGAATATATGTTATAGCTCTTTCAAATATGTAATATATATAGGAATACGCGGGAAAGTGCAAAGTTATATTGATTATCACATGAAAACAAGTGATAATAATTGTGATAAAATGCAATTGATATGATAAAAATCCTATGACAAAAATCGCTTTATCATTGTTTACACTTTGTGATTATTTATATTTTGCGATTATTTACTTATTACATCTATGTGAAAAGATTTAATTTTTCTATTCATTGATTAAGCCAAAGTACGAAGATCGACAGGAGAAGAATGTTTCGGATGTTTATAGTCGCAAGCAGTGGGAACAAAATGCAATGTTATTAACAAAGAAACCACAAAAATTTACGAAAAAATTAAAATATACTGAGGATCGTACGGACTCGGCCAAATCCGAAGAAGAAGCGGCTACGATGATACAGGCTACGTATAGAGGATATAAAGTTAGAAGAAAATTTGACGAAGTTAGTAAATGTTCTGATTAACTGTCTTGATTTGCATGCGTTTTAAAAATATATAATAAAAAAGAACTAATTAGATATTTATCTTTTATTTTCATGCCATACAAATAATATTCTGATTGTTTAAGGTTTAAAATAATAACGATATAAAAAAGTTAAGATTTGATTGTAATAATGATTACAAAAAAAAATAACTTTTACTTTTACTATCGTAAATTATTGTAATAACAGCTGATTATATATTTTGTAGATTAAGAAATCATCTTCGGAGGAAAAGCAAAATGCTCAAAAAGTGGCTGAACTGTTATCTATGTCGACGAGCCAATGCGGCTGGTCACTCCATAAATCATTAAATCCAGTCAAAATGTGTAATAGTGTTACAAATCAAAACAAAAATGTACATCATATCTAAACAAAAAAATTCAGATATTGATTATGCAATGTAACAAATGTTTAGTAATAAATACGTATATTACCTTTTATAGAAAAATAAGGGTATTCTTTTTTCACACAAATGTAAAAAAAGATTATATTGTTTAAAACAATTTCCTAATATGTAATTATATTATATTGCATTAATTATATCGACTGATTGAAGCATTGGCAATATATAAGATTGAATTTTATCACATCTTGTTGATTAGACTAATTGAGTTTAGACACACAATATTATACATGACATATGTAGAAACGATAACGTGGATCTACGTTTACGATAAGAAACACAAAAAAATTTTTTATCTCTAGAAAATAATATATATTTCTAAAATATCATATTTGAGATATAAATTCATATATTACGATATCAACAGAGAGATGTAAACTTTGTGATTAATTGTTTTGACTGGACTTTTATTATGTTGTACGTAGTGTTACGTTGTGTAAGTTATCAAATAGCAATATAGATTATTGGATTATTGAATTATTGAAGTGTTGAATTGATTATTAGATTATTAAACTGCTGAATATATTGAACTAAATTGAACTGAACTAAACTGAAGTGAATTATTGAACTGAATTATTAATATATGCTGATGCATTATTATTGAATTATTGAATTATTTAAATATTGAAGTAGTGAGTTAATTATTGGATTATTGAATTATTGAAGTGTTGAATTCATTATTAGATTATTGAACTGCTGAATATATTGAATTAAAATAAACTTAATTGGACTGAATTAATTTATTGAACTGAATTATTGATATATACTATTGTTGATATATAGTGTTATTTACTGTATTTATAATTGAATTGATTTTAACTTATTATGTAATATTGGAGTATTGGAGAATACTTTAAATTAAATTAATATTAATATATGATATGAAATATTGAATACATTGAATTAGATTATTAATATTTGCTAATATCAGGTGATTGCATAAGTTCGTGCCCGATTTAAATATAAACTTCAATAGATTATATTTTAGAGATAACACTTTTATTAATCAATTATATAGTCTCCATTCTTTTCTACAATGGTTTTCCAACGATATATTATTAAACGAACATATATATATAAAATTTTTTAACTGAAATAGCATTAATATATGGTAATATTTGTTATTACATCTATTATATCCATTTTTTTTTAATTATTTATATTTTTAATATTATATATATTATTGTTGATTTAAATAAAATTATTTGGATAATAATTAATTATGCCCCGACGAAAAATAATACGAACAGTCGAAGAAGAAGAATATCAACGTAATAAACGAGAGAAAAAAGCAAAACGTCAGGATGAGTTACAAAAAGCAAAGTGAATAACAAATAATATAAATAAAAATTATCGATATTTAACAAACATCTTGGTGAGAATTGTTCAAATATAATAAAAAACTCTGTGGATATTCCAAAAGTAATAATAAATTCCCATGCATCAATTATCACATCTGACAAAGTACATACTATAGATGAAATGATATCACAACTTTCCACATCAAACATTACAATTTCTTTTGTAAACAAAGATACGAATTATGTTAATGTAATACACAATAATAATAGACAATATTTTAATATCGATAGAAAGAAAATAACAGAACGAGCCCAAAAAGCTCGAGCTAAAAATATTATTACTCTTTTATTATATACATCTCTTATTATTCAATTACAATATATTATTGAACATTATATAGGAGAAATGAATGTATTATGTGAACATTGTGGAGCAAGGCATTTTAAGTCTGCGGCCGGTATTCATAGTCAGTTCTTATATTTAAAACCGTCTTAAACACAATCTTAAGATGTCCTAAAGTCCTAAACCAATGACAGAGCCGTATTAGCATCTTAAGACATTACTTAAGACGATCTTGAATACCGGCCTGAAAAAATAATGGTAAATATTCACATAAGATCACCATCTTCAAAAGTCAAGGACCTTGACATATGTAACAGTTATAATGTAATAGTTATAAAAGTATGTTTGCTGAGCTAATACTACATCCAGTTTCGATTTCTCTTTTCAAGGCAAACGAAGAAAAAATGTTTTAAAAATATGCGCGCGGGTAAAGAGATGAGATCATCAAGCACGATGAATTAATTTTAAATAATAATTAAATAAAAATTAAATTTTGTTTTATTAGAAACACACACACACACACATACTTGTATAAATCTATCATACATCCATAACAGATGTCTAATAGACATCCATGATGGATTTATATACGACATCTACCATGGAGATAATATGGATTTTTATTAGAAATCTATACAATATCCACTGTGGAGATAGATGTCGCATGGAGTTATGGAGGGTATATGGACGTCCAATGGATGTCATGTTCCGTGTGGGGAGTATCTATATTACTCAGCTGTATGCATGCATTCGAGTGACAGACAGTACGAAGTACTGTCATATGAAAGTGTCTGTCATGGAAAGACCGGTGGTGACTGTGAAGCAGGGAAAACTACAAGGAATCTTCGAAGATAATGTCCTCGGTTCTCGTTATCTCGCTTTTAAAGGCATACCTTTTGCTGCTCCGCCAGTGGGCAAGTTGAGATTTAAGGTATAATTTACCAAATCGCAAAATTATATAATCTTTTATTCAATAATAACAGAAATTGTCTCAGAATGCTAATTGATATGATAATTGATATGAATGATATTAAGTGAGGAAATTGGCGAATAAGAGTCAAGGCGCGGTAATTAGAGCCTTTTTTATTATATAATTCCATTAATATTTGACTGGCTCTTTTAAAATGGACCACCCTGTATAAAGATATATAAATATACAACTATATAATTTTCAAAATTATTTCACGATTATTCTAACATTCGCTTATTAAGAAAACAATAATAAAGTTCACGTTTTTAATTATCTCAATATATCCCGCAGTTATTGTGGTATGTATAAAATGTCGTCTCATTCTTAATATAAAATCGTATTTTTTTTACTGTTGTTTGAAATTAGGATCCCGAATCTCCGGCTTCCTGGGAAGGTATCCGAGACGCTTCCAAAAATGCGGATGTTTCTATACAATTGCAAGCATTGCCTTTTTCTGCGATAATCGGCGGCGAAGATTGTCTTTATCTTAACGTTTATATACCACACAATATCTACCGGACGACACGGAATCCAGTTATGGTTTTTATTCATGGTGGAGCTTTTCTTATTGGCAATGGCAATGATACTAACAAACGACCTGATTATTTTATGACAAAAGACATCATTCTAGTATCCATAAATTACAGACTCGGTGCTTTAGGTAAGATTTTGTACTTTCAACAAGACATGTCTCTTTTTGAGACGATCAAAAATGCTTTATCGTGTGTTTGCATTTCAAGATATGTCGCAAAATACATACAGGTGTCGTTCGTTATCTTATCACACTAGAAACTTTTTATTTTTCAAGGTTTCTTAAATATTGGTCATGAAAAAGCAAGCGGAAATCAAGGCTTGAAGGATCAAGTTGCTGCATTAAAATGGATCAAGGAAAATATCGAGACTTTTGGCGGAGATCCAAACAACATCACTATTTTTGGCAATAGTGCAGGTGGTTCATCCGTACATTTGCTAATGCTATCGCCGTTATCTAAAGGTATAACAGACTCTACTAACAATAATAACGAAATAATGGAATATTTCTATTGAAAATAAAATATTAATGTTGTTACTCGTATTTTTAGGTCTGTTTCACAAGGCCATTCTTCAGAGTGGTATGGCTAAATGTTTTTGGACGCTAACACAGAATGCAGAAGCCAGAGCTTTCAAGCTCGCGTCAATACTTGGTAACGATTCTAAGGACCCCAAGGAAGTGATTGAGTTTCTTCAAACGATACCTGCCGCCGACATCGTCAAAGTGCAATGTAAAGTTTTCACTCCGCAGGTAAATTATTCTTTTTATATATTTTTATTTTATTTTATTTTTAATTGTAAGCACTGAGTTAACTTGATGGCTTGATAATGATTATTTAATAATGATTTTTATGCGAAGATTTATTTATATTTTAAATTTTATAATAAATTGACGATACTATTGTATTAAAATGTTTTGTAGGAATCACGCATTGAGCAAATATCTTTTGGACCTACGATCGATGAGAAATCAATGAGACCTCTTCTGCCATGTCCTATTTCTCAGTTACTCGATAACGAGAATGATATACCGATCATCATTGGTTATAATTCTCATGAATACATAATGTTTATTAAAGGTATCAAAGATTACCGAATTTATTGACTTTTTATATACTGAAACACACACTTACATCTCGTATTTTGGTAAAACTGCATAAAAGGTAACACACTTCCGATTTAATTGCCACTTAAATATGTTATAGGAAAGGTTTTTCTGAATAATTCAGCAAATCATTCATTTCCGCAAGAAATAAGTGGAGGACGGCATTGATTTAGGAGATATAACAAATTGAAATTTCACAATTTTAATGTTTTTTCTCAGGTATTATAAAATAATATTAGGAAAAGTAAAGTTTGTATACATTGTATTTGTTGTAGAGACGAAAAAGTGTTTGTTTACATTTACGGGGTAGGTATACACTCATGGATACTTTGTCAATAATGTGTTTCATCTATTTCTCGCAGTTCGTTACAAACGTAAACAAACTTTTCCCTTATCTTATAATAGAAAAAGCATTAAAATTATGAAACTTTAATTTGTTATATCTCCTAAACCAGGCCTGTCTAACCCGCGGCCCGCGGGCCACGAGTGGCTCTTCCCCCTACCTCTGAGCTCAGGCTCGGCTCCCCCCACTCTTCCAGCCGACGGCTCTTCGAGCTTTCGACGCTTGTTCTCCGCTTGCTTGTCTTATCTCTAGCTCACTAGCATCGTGCGTTTTATATCGCGAAATAAATATCACGAAATATCGCTTATTGCTTCCACGTTACGACGCGTATGCAAAGTACAGCTTGAACGAGACCTAAATGCTACTTGTTAATTATAATTGATTATAATTACTATATTTTCTCTATTAATTCATTATTAGTATTTCCTTTTATTATTAATATTACTATATTATTATTATATCACGTCACATTATTTATCCATGTTACTACAATTTTAAATAACATTCGTATCCCTACTATTATTATTAACCTTATAACATTTTAGTAATATCATGTCAAAAAGAAAGCTTGACACGTCCAATCGTCAATTTGCCTTATGCGTAAATAATAATGTTTACGACGCTGCGCGTTAAGACTGTGAGCTGCGGAAACACGCGATGGTGGGGGAAGTCTAAAGCGGTAAGAGTGGGATCGGTTGCTCCTCCGCTCCTGGCGGTTAGACAGGCCTGTCCTAAACTAATGCCGTCTCCCACAAATTTTGTTGCGGCGAATTACTCAGAAGAATTTCCCTTACAACATATTTAAGTAACAATAAAATCGGAGGTGTATTCTTTATGCAGTTTTACCTGTATTTTATATGAAATTTCCGTTATATGTGTAATGGCTTTGTTTCTTTTAAATTAATAGATTATTCTTTTTCTCTCTGCTCGCAGATACCAGCAAAGAGACTTTAGAGACAATATACGCAGATATAAAGGTTTACGTAAAAAAACTTACGAACTTGCAAGATTCGAAAAAGTTAACGCGGTTGACGGAGAAAGTTAAACAGCATTATTTTTATAATAAGCCACTTACTAAAGAGAGTATTCCATCTCTTATACAATGCTTGAGTGATATTGGTTTTTGTATTCCTACTAAAAATTATGTGAATGATCAAAGGAAAAAGAAGCAGGCACCAATTTACTGCTATAATTTTTCCTACGTCGGTAATGAAATGACTAACACGAGATATATCTTGGATAAATTGGCTATGATTGGTAAATGTATAATTTGTAAAATTTTTAGATTGGTCAAAATCGAATTTTCGCTATATATCTATTTAGTAATACATAATTTTTATGTAATTAACATTTTAGGAGCTTCTCACACTGACGAAATGGCATATCTTTTTTACCAGCCAATTTATAAAGTCAATGATCCTAAACCGCCGGCGATAGGTACAAAGGATCGGGATGTATTAGAAATTCTTACGAAAATGTGGACCAATTTTGCAAAGACAGGGTACGTATAAATCCTCATTTGTTGAAGAGATTATATTTTAAAACAAAATAAAAATACTTTCTCATCTTCTAGAAATCCTACACCTGTCGTTGATGAGCATGTAACTACTATTTGGCAACCGGCAACAACTGATAGCTGTAATTACTTGGACATCGGCGATACTCTTCAACTTTTAACAATTGATCATAATAACATATTCGAAGATTCAAAGTTATAAAAGTTGCACAAACACTAGTAAGTTGAATGAGACTTTAACAGTTATAGATTGTTCATATTATTATATAATTAATTTAATATATTTCATGAAGTAATAAATATCTTAATGCATGTGTACAGGAGTATTTATTAATTTAATTCGAATACATAGATATATCCTTTATTTTTCTATGTAAATAACTTATCGTAATACAATAATACAGACGTTGTCCGTCTCATCTTTGCAATACAACTGCAGGGATATGTCCGCAGAAATAATTATTTTTGATTTAACAAAGTGCACTTATGCTTCCACAACATGAGTATAATATTATACTTTGCTGGGAGGTATTGTACCAGATATATTATATCAATCATCAAGAAATTATGTACATATGTATTTCTTAAAAATGTTTTATGTATATGTACTATAAGATATGTGCTATATTTAACAAAAGTATCAATTGTGTGCACATGAATATATATTTATACATGGCACTGATGTTTCAAAATTACGTTTCAAACTGAAATGTATTTTTAATGCAGCACAAGAATATTCATTTAATTTGCGAATACAATTATTAGCATTTAAATAGAAAAAAAATTAAGTGGCGACTTGCAGATTTTGAAAGCTGGATTTTTTTTCAAACTCTGCGACGCGATAAAAATTACAAATTGTTTTCTCATATAAATTTTTTTATGGAAATGATCATTCATTCTATGAAGTGCTTGTCTCTTTGTCACATCGGTACGATTTATATATATATATATATATATTAACACAATTGATAAAACAATTTATATTTATTTTTCAATGTTAGGAGCGTGCAAGGATTATGACTTCAACAGGTATATATTCAACAGATTGTACATTACTACTGTACATATATGTGCGTAAAGAACAATATTTCTATATATTCGTGATTTCTCATAAACAATGCATTTCTATATCGCTTGAAAATGTTACGAAGTTCTATCTACTTCGATTTGTATTTTATTCCGGTACCGGTGTATTTTCAACAGATATCTTTATTTATTCCAGAACGCGAAAGCTTTCTGTATTCTTTCGTTGTGCGGCTTTCCTGCGACCAAAGCGGCAGGATACGTGCGTTGCGGAATCTGTGAATTATCCGATTTCGATGTTCCACTCTCTTTTTCGAATATCTTGGCCGTGCGACTTACGTTTCCGGTTGGAAGGAATCTATCGCGATTGCGTCCGCTTAGTATCCTTGCATTCGTATTCTCATCGGCAACTACGAAATTGTAAAATTTTAATAATTTTAATAAGTTGTTTCACTATACGTGATAAATGATTATCGATATTACGAGTAAACAAAATTTAATCGCGCTTACACACACCTTTCCGCACAGGATTAGTTTCACACGAAGCTTTAGTCACGTCACTCTTTGTAGCTACCTTGTCGTTGACCGTAATAATTCCGGTATCGTGAAGAAGAGGGTTTTTTTTATCTTGTACTAAACTCGCTATCATCCCCCCCGTAGAAGTTTGTCGAGTTTCTTCCTTTCTCAATGTTCGTTTACTTTCTCGGTTGTGAGTCTCATGATCTACTTCTTCTACGATAGTGGACTCTATTTCTAGTTCGTCTATTTGTAATGAGGATGTCATCTGGGTCGAACCGCAATCACCTATTCCGGAATCGCGCGAATCGCCACGAAATACCCTGTGCAATGCTTGCGATTTCGGAATCGCGTCCATTTGGGAAGATTTTTCGATTAACTCTTTGTCACTTTTCTCGTTCTCTTTCGACGCTAAAATTTCCAGACGCGTCGTGATGTCTTGTATTTTTGGAATTAATTCGATATGTAATTTAGACGTTTTTTCTTTGATCTGATTTGAAAGATCATTCAAGCTACTTTCTTCCTTCGTCGGTGTCTTTTGTATCTCGGTATTTCCTTCCGTCACACACGTGGGATGCGTCCATGATTCTGTCTCGGCAGAATTTTCTTTCGCGTTTGTCACGACACGTTCCGTATCTTCATCGATAGCAGTGCGGATTGATTTAATTCTATCATCGGAATATTGCATCTCGAATCGTTGCTCGAGCGTAGGTGACGACTCCGCTGTTGCTGTGGGACTACGTCTATTATATGCCGAGAGAATTGCCATTCTTCCCAGAGCGCGAATGGCATTTCCTGTTTTCTGTTGAAATAAATAGCGCAATGCGTGCACACTCGAGATTTAAACGTACATGCTGAGATTATTTAGAAAACAATATCTCAAACTACAGAAAAGCTAATGTTATTAAATACTAATTGATGTTATGTTTAACTGCGACAAATTGGATTAATCGATTTTGATAAAGAAAAATCAACGTGAAAACATGTTGCAATTAAATATCAGTTAAATTTTTATTGCTTCTTAATCCTCAATGGAACATGCTGTCCTGAGTATCCCTTGTTTATTTATTTCTCCAAATATATTTGTGTTACGTTTTACTTCTTACTTTATAACGTTACACAAAACAATATTATATAATTTTAATTTTTAAAGAAGTCTACCGATCCATACCTGCCATTTTCTTCGTATAATGAACTTTTTCAGTTTTTCAGTCGGCAAAACTATTCTGCTCATTGTCGCAACGTGTTGTGCTATCCATGGATGTTCTAAACACTGTGTGGCAGACATGCGTAATCTATGTCGAAGAAATCATAGATAGAGAGGAAATTTAAATTCATTTGAACCAGAGAGCTAAATATTTCTTAAAATAAAAATATGAAACACGTACTCTTTTCGTTTGATAAGTAATCCGGTAATAAAATCCTTGGCGTTATTCGATATGGCATCAAAAGCTTCGTCTTCTAAATCATAATCTGCCCGTGTGATATTAGCGAAGGTTTCGGCATCGTTATCTCCCATGAATGGCGACAAACCGGTGAGTCTATAATAAGTAAAATTAATTAGTTTGATATATTACCGTTTAGATAATTTATTTAAAAAAAATTTTTTTTATAAGCATAATTGTTTAAAAATGATCGGCACTTACAAAACATAACAAATTACACCGACGCTCCACATGTCCGACTCGATGCCGATAGGCTCATAACTTATGATTTCCGGTGGAATAAATTCCGGTGTGCCAAAAAGCACCCTGATCGGTGTGTCCGATTTTAAAGTCTGTGCCAATCCAAAATCGATCAGTTTAATCTGATGAGAAGTACGCGTACGGCACATTATATTTTCGGGCTGTAAGATAAAAGTCATTCTGTTTAGCTCGTATATGTCGCAAATTAATAATTTACTATCATCCACGCGAAACATACTTTTAAATCAAGATGTACAATTTTGTTTTTGTGCATATATTCGACTCCTTGACAAATTTGTCGCATGAAGAGGATACTGTCTCTCTCGGTTAAAGTAAAATCGTCTGCTACTACCCTCTCGAATAGTTCTCCACCTGAAATACTGAAATAAAAAAAGTTCGGATATTATAACGTTATTGAAATTTAATACGTAAATAATTCAGACCTAATGATTGATATCGCAGATACTTACTATTCTGTGATCAGTATAGTTTCACGAGGACTTTCATAAGCAGCAGCCAGTAGTAGAAGTTTAGGATGTCTTAATGCGTTCATAATTTTGATTTCTTCGCGCACCTGTTCGCGATCTTTTGCTTTGATTGTTTTGACGAATTTTGCAGCGAAACTCATGCCCGTCGATTGCTCGATGACTTTTTTAACTATACCATATCGGCCCTTTCCTAGCTCTTCAAGAACATCGTATTTTTCGCCGAAAAGTCTTCCCTCTTCCGGTTCTACTATACGAGCCGCAAAGCTCGGCTCGAATTCGTCTAAAAAAAAATAAAACAATTGTTTTTTATTCTCTTCGATTATCAGTTAATTAATTTTTTATTACAAATCTCTTAAAATATTTTTTTAGATTTTTTAGATATGAATATATATATATATATATATAATATAATATTGTGAAGTCGTATCTTTAAGAATAGATTATCACCTTCGTCCTCCTCTTGCAACATTGTTTCTCCTTGCTTCGGGATTCTGACGGGATCAGATTCCATGCTAGGATCGCTAAGACCGTGAATATTTTCAGCTCGGACGCGAAAACGGTAACTCTCACCCGGTGTCACAGAATTCGTTTCAGCTGACAATACCGTATGACTCAGCGAATGACAAGACTCGGTAATTACCGTCCACGTGCTTTCACCGGCGTGTTTTGCTTCCACTGTATATCCTATTACTGTGCGACCTCCGTCATAAGGTGGCGATCTCCAGACGATCGTAGCTTGGCCAGTACTAAGATTCACACTCGGTTTACCCGCGACTGGTTCGGGTTGACCTGAATGAAAATCAAAATCTCTCTTTCAGCACATCTTCACTCTCGTAGAAAAAATTAGTAATAAATAATATATTTATGGCACACGCTGTTATATTATTAACGCGCGATTAATTCAAATTTTATAGTAACGTTACGAATCGTCAAACACTGACTCGGAGCGCGATCGCGTGCGTTTTGAAACAAATCTGCATGTCATTACGTTACGTCGCAGTCGTTAAGATGCGCATCGCGTATATCACTTCTCTCTCGCAGTGCACGCGTCTTTTCACCGACAGACTTATGTTAGACATAACGCGGTCTTGAAAGAGGAAGTGGAGGTGGAATGTTGATGGAGGAGGAAGCGCGGAAAGGAGGAATTATTGCGCGGTGTGTCACGTGAGACTGTTGTCTGCCTTGTACGCGAGGATAGGAACTGGACCGTACAACACGCATTTACGCACGTGAAACAATAGTACGATGTGTCGTTCTAAATTACGAGCGCACATGGAACATACGATTGTTTCAGAAAACGCTTACTGAGCAACTGATCGTTACCGAGCAACACCGGCTCTTCGCGTAATTAAGTTTAATTAAGCCAAGGTCGAATCGAGCAGCGCCGAGTCATGTGTCAGTCTAATGGCATGTTATAAATTTTCGAATATGAATCGCGCGAGAAAGCGAACGAATATATATATATTTACATACAAATGACACATACCTTCCACAGCTAAACTGAAAAATCTTCGTTCCTTGCCCAATAAATTTTCCACTGAGACTTCGTATTTTCCAGCGTGGTCGTATGTCACATTGTCTATTGTCAGGCAAGATGTACCGTCCCCGCTGATTATCCTAATCTTCTCATCTGGCTGCAGTTCGCGATTCTTAAATTAAAATAAAAATATTTTATCATATATGAAATATATCAAAGGTATCAAAAAGAAATACCTAGGAATTAATATAACACAGATAAAGTTGATTGACGGCAGCTGCGTACGTGGCTGTACTGAAGCGTGCAATGATACGCGACGACCAAAATGTATATATATATCTCGATTGGTTTTCCAGAAATTTACACATGTGTATCACATTTTGGTGGGGATTTTATACATATTATAGTAAGAAATTGTCTCGGCAATATTTCTCGGGGCTAAAGATAAACAAATGATCATCTTGAATAACTGACAGTATTAATTTCTGTATAGGAAAATTATGCTCGCGTGTTTATTCGTATCGTGGAGAGACTTGGAGATCGATAGAATCTCGCTTAGATTAATTTAGTACGATCGCGTTGATTTATATCGATGTAGTTTATATTATAATCGCGAAACAGAGCGCTTATTGTGGGGAACAGTTGACTCTTTCATATACAAAATTTGCTCACAGAGAATTACGTGTCGTTATATTATTAGAACATTTCTAACTCGGTATAATTCGATAAAATCGATAAATTATAGACGAGGAAAGCGAACTTACCACTCGAAGCCACTTAATCATCGGTTCGGGACGTCCTTGATAAGTTACTCTGACTACTGCGCTGTTCCCTTTAAATACGGTGACGTCAGCTGGATCTTTTACTATCGTAGCTTTCATCAACTCTAGGATCGATTCCGCACATTTTTCGTTCGATACGGTATTAATATCCAAATTGAATTGTTCCGTTTTCTTTGGTGATAATAAATTCATCGAGATATCCGTTTCATTTGTCTCGTCTAATGACGATGACAATTTTCGATCGTTTGAAAATTCTACGTTACTGTCTAAATTCTTCTTTGTAATTCTCTGTCGCAATAGATCGCTTCCAAATCGTGATTTCCCAATATCAGCTGACGCATTGTTAAGAATGCATTTTCTTGCTGGCAAAGGAGAAACATTTTTAGTGTACGATACGATCCGCCGAGGAAACGAAGACGATCTGGTTCGCGTCGGCGATTCCTCACGTCGTCGTCGATGTTTTAATAATGATAGCTCCGTGATTTTTTCTGGCATGCCTGTGTTATTAATATTCGTCAGCGATAGCTTAGCCTGTGCATGAGACTGAATATCTTCGGGCTTTGTCATTGCTGCAACCGGCGGAGGGCTTCTATCGGTAGAATCGTGCAGCGAACGTTGTAATCGCAGTTTGGCAACGCAACTGATGGATGGACCCTTGCCGTTCACGGAGGCTGTGCATCGAATCTCTCCTGTATCGCGCGATGATATGTCGCGTATTCTCAAGATGCTGACGTTGCCATCTCTTTCGATCTTTAAACATATAAATGATAATTAACAGCAGATGGTTATTTAATAATATATCTACATATTTTATTTTACATACTTTACACTTTGTATTTTCTCTAGCGTCTTTTCCGTTAATCGTCCAAGTAAGTTCCACGGTTTTTTCACACTGCGTTCGAACACAGAAACAAGCGGTAGCGCCTTTAACGGCGAGTATTGATAGTGGAGTTTTCGTAAATTGTAATGCCAATTTGGAAACGTCTTTGTAGTCTGTTTCAAAACATTGACAGATAAAGCGTTTTAGGTAAGGGATTTAATAACAATATTAAGAGATGAAAACAAATCAGACCTTGAACAGCAAAAAGACTACTGCAGGAAGCAACACCGAAGTCGTTTCGCACAACGCAGGTATATTCACCGGCATCTTGCGGGCGAACCTCGGATAATCTAAGAGCAATACCGCCGTCTCCATATATAACGTATCTATAATAATCGTTGTCAGGTAATTCACGACCGTCCTTGGACCACGTGACCGTGAAAGGAGGTGTACCTGAGAGATAAAAGTAAAAAACATATATTTTAGATTTTATTTCATTATTTTTCTCGAAAACTTAATTAAATATTTAAAGAATAAGAAATTCTACCTGTGACTCCTGTCTGAAATTCGTGACAATGATTTTCCATAACAATCGATTCTTCCGGTAACGATCGGAGAAATCGCGGTGCGTCCTTGTCCGCGATGGACGAATCGCGCGGATTTAATATGGTTACCTGAGAATAAATTGATGAAATAATGTAACAAAGGATCTCGAGAAATCTAACGACAAATTATTAACTCATAACGAGCGTTCATTCACCTGACAAGTACTTCTCGTTGATCCAAGGACATTACTCGCTACACAGGTATATTCACCCGCGTCGCTGGCCTTTACCTTCGATATTTCGATTCTGGCCGTCGTGCCGTCAAAATACCTCTTTATTCTAGTGGATCGTTCCAACGGTCGTCCGTTTCTAAATAAAAATTTAAAAATAATATCTTGTTGCAAATCTGTGTTATATATCGCGATCAAATCTCCGCCTTTTTACCTGTACCACGTCGGCGTTACACTCGGTGTTCCTCTTATACGGCATTCCAGCTGCAAGCGTTCGCTTATTCTACTAGTAGTTGACAGGAGGCTCCGATCGAATGAAGGATAAGTCCTAGGTGAGGCGCTTCTAGTCCTGATAGTCCGACTTGTCGAATCATATCGACCTTTTGCCGATTTGAAAATTTAATATTACAGGAAGAAAAAGATTTGTGTAAGATATATATGGGAAGAGATGTATTATTTTTCTTTGCGAGATATATATACGTACTTATTACTTCCAGACGAGCGCTGGCCTCGATCCGGCCAAAATCGTTCTCCGCCGTCACTCTGTAAAGAGCGGCATCCTCCCGCATTACGTCAACAATCTCAAGTATCTTAACGTCGTCTCGTTCCTTGATGGAAATCCTTGCGCTCGGTGTTACGATGCTACCGTTCTTGTCCCATCTTACCCAGGGCGTGGGATGACCGACTACCGCGCACTGGAAACGCACAGTCTCACCTTCCTGGACCAGACGATTGTGCGGCACCGCGTAAAATTTCGGTGGGCAAACCTTGGGTCGTTTCGACGACGTGTTGCCTCGCGGCAGAACTTGCGGTGATCTGAATTCGCGTCCGTCTGAAAGCAATTCTCTCATTTAATTATCTCTTCTACGTTATCTCGTCTCGCTTACATTTTTTGATAGTTTTTTCTTTAAGTTTTTAAATCGCGCTTTTATCTTACGTGAAACTGCTGGTGATAAACTCCTGATCGGCGTCGATCGTGGTGTCGACCTCGGTGTCGATCCTGCCGACAGCAGACCTACTGGCCTCGTCAATCTTTGACTCAATATATTTTCCTTTCCCTCGGGTACTACGACATAGATATCAGTTCGGATATTTACTATTTATGAATATTTGAGATTATAAGTTCTGACTTGTGTATCTGTATGTGTGACACATGAGCATAACATGTACACGTTGCACGGAGATAAAAAATTATGATTAACTTGCGCTTCTTAGTCATGCTTACGTTACATAATCTTTGAATGTGACCGCATATTAGCATAACAAAGTCATTTTAGAGAGATGGTCACGATTGCGTCTTTATTTGGAACACTTTTGTAAAGCAGTCTCGAGGATTATTACCATCCACAACTAGGCATGCCGATGTATACGCTTTCCCAAGGTCGTTGTAAGCCACACACGTATACTCTCCTTCATCCTCGGGATAGACATGCTGAATACTTAATCGCGCTGTCTCGCCGTCGAACTCGGCAGCGAAATCGCCCGTCATAGCTATAATAGAAAAAAAATTTATTTATATTTGTATGCAGTAAAATTTAAATTTTATTTACGTGTTTACAGGAAGAATCAATTTTTGATCTTTCTTACTTTCATGATTATTTTGGGCATATTTGATTTATATTATTTAGTCAAATGCAAACTATATTTGCAGTAATATATGTATTTTTATATGCAAGTTTCTAACGCAAGAAAATTTTAACACATATATATTTAATAATTATTTTAATTTAATTAATTTAATAATTTATTTTAAATCTACGCCCCGCGAATTTGAACTGGGTCTTATAAAATTATTTGATTTTATTTCTCTCGGCTAAATAAACAATTATTTAAACGTTTCACTTACACTGTCGTATTCCACATGGAGTTGAATTTAATTCTTCGGAGTGAATATTGTTTAGATTAATTAATTGCTTGTCTCTTCATTGCTTCGTTGCCAGAAAATTTGAGTCTTACAGAATAATCAAATATATAATAAAAATAATAATTTACGTATCATACACATAAAATACATTACGCGAGGATATCGTATCGTATACAGCTGATTAAAAGTTACAGCGGCTGTTCGTTCGTTAAAGTTGCGCGACACGACTGTTTTGCCGCTCGTACGTTACAGTGCTGATCCATCGACGAAGAAAGCCGACGACAAAAGTGGGGGGATACTGTATACATTTTGCAATTATGCAGATATTCCAGAGTAATGTGCGAATGTGCGGATGGTTCTTTGATCAAAAAAAATGCACCACTTCCTACCTTGAATTATCGTATATTGTCGATTTATAGTACGAATTCTCTTCTCGAGTGTCTTATTCTTTCGTTCGTATTAAAAAAAATAATATAACGTGCAATGCACGTTGTTACCATTTATGGAACCATTCAATGTCAATGCCATTTTCTCGGCGCATATGATGCATTGTCTGCTTCTATGGATATAATACCTATAATACGTATTGTTATATGATCATTTTTTTTTTAATCATCCTTGACCCATATAACACGCAGCATTAGATATACGTCATTTCATCATTTACATAATATTCATTTTAATCTATAATTCTGTCCATAATTTAATCATGATTAATTAAGAGATATATTAAAATTCTTTTTGTAGTTTGCTTTTTGATTGTATCGCCGATTATTATCGATCTTGTATTTAGAAAGACGCAGAATATCACAAATACAATGGATTTGAAAAATTTTGTTTACCTTGAGAAAATCGCGCAGCCATATTACTTCGGGCTTAGGATCTCCGACGACTTCGCAGAATATGATGACCGTATCGCCCTCAACTGCTTCGGTTGATAACGGTTTCGTGACGAAAAGTGGCTCCTTGGAATATCTAAGGAAAAGAGGAGCAATTATATATATATTTATAGCTTTGCGCTCTGTCTCCGAGACGATCGGACTCACGGTATATCCGGAGATGCACTCATAATATTGAATGATCCATCAATGGACGACTGATCCGAAACTGCATCCGTGATGACAGCCACCCTGGTCGATGTCTCCGTATGACCGACTGCATTCGTCGCGGTGCAGCTGTAAACTCCGGCATCTCGGGCAGTGATGTTAGGCAGAGAAAATTGGACGGTACCGTCGTGGCTCAATGTCATTATGGCTCTTCTATTGGGTCGTAGTCGATTACCATCGCGATGCCTACGCGAAATCCAAAATAAAGGAATTAAGATCGTATTTTTTGTATTATAATAATTATTTGTATTATTAATTGTAATTTAATCGCATCGATTAAATTAATCGAGGTTTAGTTAAAATAACTTTAGTATGACCAAATCATCCGATTTAGTTGCGTCTCTCAGTGGCCGAGTTATGTTGATTTACGTGATTTAGCAGTCCCACGCAAATTTATTTTCGATATTAAATTTTTACGTAGTTTTTAACGCGCCAAACGATTGCTCGCGTGCTAACATGATTTACGATACATTACGTGTATCTTGGCTTTTAATCATAACTGTTGCTTACCAAACGACACCAACACTCGGATAAGCCTCGAGTTGCGCGGACATTCGCAGCTCCCCGCCAGAATGAATCGTGTAAGCCGCGTCGAGGCCGCGAAGAAATTCTGGAGCAACGTAAGCTCGAATTCCCTTATCCACCACGAGGTTACATCGACAAGATACAGAGCCGTTTACATTCCTCGCTGTCACCATGTAACATCCGGAATCGTCGAGGGTGGAATGAATTATTTCCAGAGTGTGGAAGTTCGAGTCGTCATCCCAGAAGATGTGACGATCTGGAAGAGGATGTTCGGATTTTTGGAGAATCGATATTTTCATATGTCGGACTTTCTTTGCGTATCGAGATAATCACCGTCTTGGGAGATTTTTGCTTCATTCTTGTACCACGTGATCTCTGGAGCGGGATGCCCGATAACTTGACAGGTAAGCCTTACCGGATAAGTTGTCTGCACTCGTCTGTCCCGTATTCTCATGGTGAATTGCGGCGGTTTATCTTCCGGTTCGATGCTCAAACTTTTAACGGAATTATATAACGTTATTACTGGCCTTGTCAGTCTCGCGAATAATATATCTACTTACTTTGTTCTGAGTTTTATATCAGCCTCGATAATTCTTGGATCGTTAACGACGAGAACCCTAGCGAACGACGACACTTTACCGATCTTGTTGTTCGCCTCGCAAACGTATCTCCCGGAATCATCCTCTCTAATATTCGCAATTGTTAAGAAACATTTGGAACCATTGCGGTGTATCGCGAATCTTGAATCACCGTGCGAATCTATCTCCGTTGTTTCACGGTACCATCGTACATCCATCTTGGAATTACCGCGAATCTGAAATTAATATTATTCGAACGGGTATATGTAAAGCAAGTTAAACATTATCGCGCTCTTACTCGTTGCAATCTTACCTCGCATTCCAATTTTATTGGCGTTCCTTCGAGAGCCTTCAATTGACCCGGTAAGATTTTCGTGAATTCCGGAAGATCGGTACTTTCGCTCACTAAAACTGAATTTGTCATGGTAACCGGTTCGCCCCATCCGTAACGATTTCGCGGAGTTACGCGGAATTTGTACTCTCCACCCGATCGCAAATTGAACGCGTCGAACGTGTTGATCGGCGTGATTCCCAGCTGAATTATATCGAAAATTTGAAAAATGGTAAATTGGAATAATATGTTGTTATGGAAATATTATTTGTCTCACCTCTACCCATCGTGCGCCTCCGTCACTTCCAAGAAGCCAAGCGTCGACTTTATAAGCGATCACCGGAGCAGGTCCTCTTCTCTCTGCTTTACCCCAAGTCAGCGACAACCAATTCTTTCCACCATCAACAGCAACAGGCTCGCTACTGATCGGACCAGGTACGTCTGATAAAAACCATAATAAGATCATGTAATGTAAAATATTATTTAAATATTTAATTAAGCATATCTTTTTTAAATATGATATGTATTTCAAAAATATTAATAAGCAATTGTCATTCGTTTAAGCTGACCTCGATGTCCATACAGATATTCCAAAAAATCAATGATTAAACAATTCTTATTTGTCCATGAACTTCTTAAACGTGAGATAGTGATAGTGATATCGTTTCCATCGTTGACAAAGATCCCATGATCGTGTGGCTTCATGATAAATTTTATTTTATTTTCCTTAGCAATATATTTTTTAGCGTGTATATAATCAAATGTATTTTGTCATCGGATAAAAAAAAAACGATAGAGAGAGATTTGTTTAATATATTATAAGCATAATAACACAAAAAATATTATAAAAATTTAGATAAATTTGCAGTGATAGCATTTATGAAGGAAAATATTGACGAAATAAAAAAAAATAATTTTTCACACCTAGCGAGATATTTTTTTTTTTTAGCACAAGGTATCGTGAGAAAACTCAAGGTTTTGAAAAGTAGGATATACGAAATGATTCACGTTCCGACGACGACTGAATTTTCAATTTGTGGAATCCACGAGATGTTGGTGGGAGATGAAAAAGGGAGACAAACTAAAATAACCCGGCTTTCGCGAAAGATGCTCCTCGAACGAAAGAAACTTGGATGTTCTCCTATCGCATTTATTTTATATTACACAAATGCTATCTTACACTTCGCGAATGCATCAATTACGAATTCAATTAAAATCTTACATTTCAGAATACCGCCTCCCACTCGCTTTAAAGATCAATTTACGTTCGTTTAAGGAGATCTTCAAGCCACATCAGCTCGATGAATAATCAAGTTAAATATTGACGTCAATTCGCGCGACCGCTTATGTTAGTCCAGGCGTCAAAACTGGCGTCCGGCCATTAAAAGCTAACTATACCTTGCAGTTGGTGCAAACTTGTTTGCCATTCTAATTTTGATTGGTTATACAATATTTATTTGATATTTATATCAATTTTAGAATCTATTGTTACGATATTAAGTGATCTTGTTTTAAATTTAAATTTCAAATGCAGATAATATTGCAAAATCTCATGATTTATTTCATTCCTTTTTTTTAGTTAATATTACAAAATAATCGCAAGAGGAGTTACTTACTTCTCACATATGACATGTCGTCATCGTGCTCTTCGCCTGCGTCATGTTCGGTAACGGAATTCCAATCTGGCGATGGGGTCAACGACCTAGCGCGTTGCTTCACCTGTTCGCGAATATATTACTGATTATATTTTTTTTTGTTCCAGATTTACCGAATATTCTCACCTTGATCGAGAAGAAGCTTCTGTCGCAACCATATCTATTCTTAACCAGAATGCAGTAGGTACCTTCATCAGAAGGTACGGCTCTTTTTAACGTTAATCTGACATAATCATCAATACTCTCCTTGTACGATCTTGGTCCGTCCGTGATGTCCGTTAATCCTTTCATCCAGATTACTAGAAATAAAAAAGAAAATAAACAGAGAATAAAAAAAAAAAGAAAAATGCAAATTTTGACACTGATATCCTGTCCAAGAATACAATAAATTATTAAAATACAATAGAGTCGTATTATTAAACTTTACCTCGTGGCTTAGGAGTACCGTTGACTCGAAAGGATATACTGACGTCTTCACCGACGGTCACGTCGATCGATTTCTTGGACGGTCTCGAGACGAACACCGCCGGTTTTCCGCCGTCGATAGCGCTCGATGATATTACGTCCACTGTCACCGACGTGTCCACTTGTCCGTAAGCATTGATCGCTCTACACACGTATGTACCTCTTTCCGATTCTGTGGCCTCGGGTACAATTAACGTGTGAAGTCCACGCTCGGTGAAGGTTTTCGCCTTCGATATGGCTATCGGCTCCTTCCGGTCACCGCGTAACCATTTTACTTCCGGAGCTGGTGTACCTGTACAATAAATCAAAATATTCAAAAATTCTAATAAGTAAATCAAACTGCTTATTACCTTTAACTTCTACTTGAAGAGCGATGGTACCGCCAGCAGGCACGTTGTAATCCTTTAATAAATTAGAGAATCGTGGTCGTCGCGCAAATTCCGATCCAATTTCGTTGCTCGATTTTATATCGTATCGGCTCGTCGATTGCCAATCTAAAATCATATTTCAATTGCGTGTATTTAAATGCTTCTTATATTTATTCATGGCATATAATCTGTCTATCACCTTCGACGTGAACTATATGAGATATTTCCTCGGTGTGCAACTCGTTTACCGCACGACACGTGTATCGTCCATTATCTGCGGCATTAGGATTCGCTATCTCTAATCGATATATATCATCGTCGAGATAGATCTGCTCGTAACGCTCGCCCTCAAGAATCCGCCCGTCTTTTAGCCAGGAAATCGAAGGAGTCGGATGTGCTCGTACACGACATTCCAAGATGAGCTTCTGATCGGAATATCGGTAAGTGTCTACGCGAAAAAAATAACATTAATACAATGCATGCGAAAATTAAAACGCATATTACAAACGTGTATACCTTTAATTGATTTTACAAATGTTGGAGGCGAATGCGCAGGTTTATAATCGGAATAAACCCTTAAGGTGGACTCGGTGCTCGAAATGCCATGCGTATTCTCAGCTACGCACGCATATATTCCGGCGTCTGTGGGAAGTGCGTCGTATAATTCCAGATAGGCCATACCGTTCTCGTATCGCGTTCTGCAGCGACTGTCTGATACATCCAACTTTTGACCATCTCTAGTCCAGTAGACGCGCGGTTCCGGATTACCAAGTACGGTGCAGGTCAGTCTTGTTCTCATACCAGTTCCTACGATTCTGTTCGTCAGTCTCGTGCAGAACGATGGCTTCTTTGGTTTGTCCCACGGAAGATCCTGCAATATTTCCGACAAATTATTAAAAAAAATTCTGCTTTGTTTGCAAAGCATTGAGAAATAATTTAATATCGGACAAGTACCTCACTTTGACCGAAGCCAGGGTAGCTAGACGGAATAAACTCGTAAATGTCGAAATTGATACGTGGGGTAGCCTCTGTTTTTGTACGTCGGATAGGTCGAATGCGTCGAGTGCTAGGTACAATGGTAGCATCGCTATCTCCGGTCGAATAGTCTTCGTACTTTAGTAAACTAGTGGATCTCGCGCGAATCATACGGTTATCTCTTTTCTTGCGCCTTCTGTACGACGATCCTGCGTCGAAATAATATTTATCCATAAAAGAGCCGTGTAATTTATAATCCCAGTAATCGTCGATTCTTCTTCTACTTAATGACGTCAAAGAATCTCTCCAGCTATACGATCTGGAAGTGCTAGAAAGCGTCGAAATACCAGAATCAAATCGTGAAGTATATTCTCGCGAATAATCGACGTCGAAAAACATTGCGGTCGATTTGTCGGGCTTGTATCTGGTTTCCAACATGTTTTTAAGGAAGCGATCGGATTCGTTTTCACGTCTTCTGGACCATTCGCTTTCTCTAATTTGCTCCTTTCTTCTTTCATTATTCCTGTATATCTCTTCCTCCTGTCTTTTTCGTAATTTTTGTCCTTCTTCCCATAATAATCTAGCAGTCTCGTCTCCCCTGATTCTCTTTTCCTCGCTTCTTTTCTGAAACCTCTCCTCGTTTGCTCTAAATATATAATCAGTTTCATCTCTTTTGGATTGCCCCACGGTTTTTTTATTTTCTAAGCGTTCCATTTCCATTCGATGAAGCCTTTTATTATCATTTCTTTTTTGACGATCATATTCCTCTTTACGTTCTTTGTCTAATCTGTATTCATCATTTCTGTTAACTCGCTCCTCTTTTCTCGTACGTAACCAATTTTCATCTTCCCGTGGCCTCCACGGTCTCTGTTCCTCATCTCTTTTTGTTCTTTCTATTTTTTCAAATTGCGATTTTTTTATCAAATCGTGAAGTATATTCTCGCGAATAATCGACGTCGAAAAACATTGCGGTCGATTTGTCGGGCTTGTATCTGGTTTCCAACATGTTTTTAAGGAAGCGATCGGATTCGTTTTCACGTCTTCTGGACCATTCGCTTTCTCTAATTTGCTCCTTTCTTCTTTCATTATTCCTGTATATCTCTTCCTCCTGTCTTTTTCGTAATTTTTGTCCTTCTTCCCATAATAATCTAGCAGTCTCGTCTCCCCTGATTCTCTTTTCCTCGCTTCTTTTCTGAAACCTCTCCTCGTTTGCTCTAAATATATAATCAGTTTCATCTCTTTTGGATTGCCCCACGGTTTTTTTATTTTCTAAGCGTTCCATTTCCATTCGATGAAGCCTTTTATTATCATTTCTTTTTTGACGATCATATTCCTCTTTACGTTCTTTGTCTAATCTGTATTCATCATTTCTGTTAACTCGCTCCTCTTTTCTCGTACGTAACCAATTTTCATCTTCCCGTGGCCTCCACGGTTTCTGTTCCTCATCTCTTTTTGTTCTTTCTATTTTTTCAAATTGCGATTTTTTCTGTTCTTGTCGTTTTTGGAGTATTGCGTCATCTTTTTGTGTTTCCTGATATTTATCCACTTTTAAACATAAATCTTTATCCTCTCTCGATTGTAATTTCTGAATTTCTTGGTTCGATTTTTCTTCTTGTTTTTGTTTTATACGTGTCTTTTCTCCTAGTTCTTGATCCTTTTTTGCGTCTTTATATTTTTGTTTGCTCTTATCTTCATCATTTTCTTTCTTTATGTATTCATTTTGTGTTTGCTGTACCACTTGGTCTATTTTAACAATCTCCTCCTTTTCTTTTTCTATTTGTTCTTCTCTTTTCTTTTCTATTTTTTTATCTTCCTGCTTATCCTTCTCTTGTGTTATTTTTTTCTTATCCTCTTGCATATCTTTCTTTGTTTCTGCTTGTTGATTTTCTGCTACCTTTATTTTTTCAGTTTTAGTTGTTTGTTTTTGTTCCTCATCCTCCTTCTTTGATATTTTAACTTTATCCTCTTGTTTTTGTTCCTTTTCTTTCTTTTTCTCTGTAGATTCTTCTGTTTTGTTAGACTTTTCTTTTTTCGTTTCTAATTCTTTCACATCATCTTTTGCTTCTTTGCCTTCTTTCTCTTTTACTTTTTCTGTTATTTCTTTTTCCTTCTGCTCTTGTGTTTTTACTGCTTCTACTTGTTCCTGTTTTTTTCTTATTTCTTGTGCAGACTCATCTTTCTTACTAGATTCCTCCTTTTTCTTTTCCATTTCCTTCGTTTTCTCTTCGTCTTTTGACTTTTCGTCTTTTTCCTTTTTTAATTGTTTCTCTTGTGCCAGCTTTTCTTTCTCCTTTTTCAGTTTCTCAGTCTTTTTGCTTTTTGCTTTTTCGTTTTCTTTCTCTTGCTCTTTCTTATCTTTTTTGAGAGTTTTACTCTCCTCTTGCTTTTTTATTTCTTCGACTTCCATTTTGTTGTCGTGCGTGTCTTTTTCTTTTTTTGCGATTTCAGTTTCTTCTATTTTTATATGTTCCTGCTCTTTTTGCTGTGTTCTATCTGTTTTTTCTTTTTCTTCTTTCTGTACTTTTTCAATTTCATCTTTTTTACTATGTTCTGTTGCATCTTTTACTCTTTCATTTTCTTTTATATCTTTCAGTTCTTTTTCCTTTTCTATTATTTCAGCCTCTTTCTTTTCCTTCGCTTGTACTTTTTTGTTCTCTGTATCTTTGGCTTCTTCTGCTTTATTCGTTTCTGTTTTTTCCACCTTTGTGCTTACATCCTTTTCAGTTTTCTTACTTTTATCTGATTCTTTTCTTTCTTGTACAGTCTCTTGCTCTTTCTTGTGTTCTTCTGCCACTTTATCTTTGGCTTCTTCTGCTTTATTCTTTTCTGTTTTTTCTATCTTTGTGCTTAGATCCTTTTCAGTTTTCTTACTTTTATCTGATTCTTTTCTTTCTTGTACAGTCTCTTGCTCTTCCTTTCGTTCCTCTGCAACTTTATTTTTGGCTTCTTCTGCTTTATTCGTTTCTGTTTTTTCCACTTTTGCGCTTAGATCCTTTTCAGTTTTCTTACTTTCATCTGATTCTTTTCTTTCTTGTACAGTCTCTTGCTCTTTCTTGTGTTCCTCTGCCACTTTATCTTTGGTTTCTTCTACTTTATTCGTTTCTGTTTTTTCCAATTTTGCGCTTAGATCCTTTTCAGTTTTCTTACTTTCATCTAATTCTTTTCTTTCTTGTACAGTCTCTTGCTCTTTCTTGTGTTCCTCTGCCACTTTATCTTTGATGTCTTCTGCTTTATTCTTTTCTGTTTTTTCTACCTTTGTGCTTAGATCCTTTTCAGTTTTCTTACTTTTATCTGATTCTTTTCTTTCTTGTACAGTCTCTTGCTCTTTCTTGTGTTCCTCTGCCACTTTATCTTTGATGTCTTCTGCTTTATTCTTTTCTGTTTTTTCTATCTTTGTGCTTAGATCCTTTTCAGTTTTCTTACTTTTATCTGATTCTTTTCTTTCTTGTACAGTCTCTTGCTCTTCCTTTCGTTCCTCTGCCACTTTATTTTTGGTTTCTTCTGCTTTATCCTTTTCTGTTTTTTCTACCTTTGTGCTTAGATTCTTTTCAGTTTTTTTACTTTTATCTGATTCCTTTCTTTCTTGTACAGTCTCTTGCTCTTTTTTTTGTTCCTCTGCCACTTTATTTATTTTCTCACGATTTTCTTTGTTTTGTTCATTATTTTCGCTTTTTATTTCTCCAGTTTCTGTGATTTTTTTAAACTCTTCGATTTCGTTTTTTATGCTTTCTGTCACATTCATTTCCTTTTGCTGCTTTTCGATTTGTTTTATTTCTCCAGCTTCTTCTTTCTTTAAACTTTCGGTTTCTTGTGTTGTCTTACGTTCTTTTTTATCTTTCTTAATCTTTTTATCTTTTATACTTGTTTCATTTTGCTCTGCTTCTTCTCTTACTTGTTCAATTTCTTTGCTTTTCTGTTCTTTATTTATTTTTTCTGTTTCCTCTTTCTTTTGTTCCTCAGTTTCACTTTTTATTTTATCGGTCTCTTTTATATATTCTTGTTGTTTCTCTATCTTTTTATATTCCTCTTCTTTTTCTTTCTTTTTTTCAACTATATCATCTTTTGGCTGTTCTAATTTCTCCTTAATTGATTTTTCTTCTTCTTTTTCCTGTTTCTGTTGTATTTCTAAACTCTTTTTTTCCTCTTTATCTACCGTATCATTAATTACTGTAGAGTCTGCATTGTCTGTCAGCTTAGTTTCTTCTATTTCTACTTTTATTGTTTTCTTTACTTCATCGTCTTTTTCAATACTTGTTTCAATTTTAGATTTTTCTATTTCTTTTTTTGCAGATTTCTTTTGAGGTACTTTCTTCTGTTTTTCTATTGTCTGACTCATTTCTCCTACCAAAAACTGATCACATATAATATTTATGACAGATTGCAATTTGCAGATCGGTTTCTCAAGAATTTTTAATCCTTCTAATATTGTTTGTGTATGCCATAAAGTTTTCGCCTCTTCCATTGACTCTTGCAATTCATGAAGGCACGGTATTAAATTTTTCGAGAGGATACCGAAATTTGTATGCTGCGGATCCGCCAACGGTTTATCGGCTGACTGCTGTTGTATTATAGCTACTGATTTCTCGAGATTTTGCAAGGCATTGATCATCAATTCGGTACTCGGTTTCTCTTGTATTTGTGCGATACACTGTTTAATATTCTGTAAAAGTTTCGTCAATATTCCGAGTGCTTCGCATTCGATACAAATCTCGATGACAGACATCTGTTGTTCCTCTAATTTGTGTCCGATAGATTCAACAGACGTGTTAATATTCAAAATAGTATTCATTATTTTTGTCGATAATTCCAAGAGCTTTTTATTTTGTTGTATAGATATAACTGCTTCGAGCGCATCTTGCAAGAGTTCCAAGGGTCTTTTTAAATCCTTTAGATAAATGCTTGGGGATTCTTTTACGGTCACAATGGAATATTTTAGCTCGTTTAATGGTACATTAAGAGCGGTGGATATAGTAGTATCTGTTTCTATGGTATTTGATGATTCGGACATTGGTTTATCGACAATTTCTCTCTTAACGAATGAAATGCATTTCTCAAGATTAAAAAGAGAATTGATAATAGCGTCAATATTGGTTTCCTCATCAATAGCATTTAAATTATATTTGTTTGTCAATAACATCAAACTCTCTTGTACATTAGTAAGTGATTTTGCCATTGTTTTGAGAACTTCAGTTTCGGTATAGTCATCTTCCATACGCAATATAGCTGTCTTAATATTTTCCATCGGTTTCGATAATTCTTCCACAATAGACCAGTTTGGCGTTGATGTTCTTATTTGTTCTTCCATAATTACAGTTTCAGGTTCCATTATTGTGCATTGTCGAATATCGGCTATCGATCTCTCTATCTCGTGCAGAGGAACCGCTAAACATTCCGTGATCCAATTGTTGCTCGTATCTTCAGGCATCGACTCGACATCCGGCGATATAATTCGTGCTTCTAGAACCGATATAGCGCGCTGGAGGTCGAACAGAGGTTCAGCCAGTGCATCTAATACAATGTCATTCTTCGGTCGATCCATTGATGTTTCAACCAACATCTGATCCTGTATTACGGCGATGGAATGGCGCAGTTCCTCGAGCGGTTCCATCAATGGATGAAGGGCGAATTCATTCTTATCCTCGATTGCGAATGAATGTTCATTTGCACGTTCCATAGTTGTCTGTTCTTGAATAATTACCGCTGTGGCTGCATCCTTCAACTCTAACAAAGGCTGTATCATCGTTTTCAACAGAGAGACATTTTCCCTCTCCGATAAAGAAGACGTCGTATCGCTCGGCGTGACTACTTTGCGCTCTTCAACGACCAGTGCAAGGCATTCTCGTAATTCGGTTAAAGGCTTTGCTAATGTCTTCAACGCGGATGCTTCATCTTCCGATATCGATATCGCGATCTCGACAGGAGATTCGATCGCGCCCTGATCGATCACCATCGGACGCGTGACTTTTGAAAGAGATTGTTCGTCGATTACATCTGCCCATGTATTCAAAGACGAAGCGTCTTCGGAAAAGGTGTCTGCCACAGGCTCCATGATTATCTGTTGATGATTGCACATTGCTATACATTCCGATAGATTGTGGAGAGTTTCGGCGAACGTTTCCAATGCCGAGACATTGTGTTGCTGTGCCAGTTCGTTTAAAGGATCAGGCGCAACTGCGGCTACTTGCTGAATAGAGGCAACGGAGGCTCTTAGATCCACTAGAGGCTGCGCGATCGATTTCAGTAAAGCGTCAGTTTCTGTTTCCGAGATAATTTGGCTGCCTGCCTCTAATATCACGTGCTCTTGAACAGTGGCAATGCACTTTTGCACCTCCTCGAGGATAGGCTGTAAGGCAAGTTTTTCTAAGCTCATGGAAGATGATTCGGCTTTTAGATCCTGTCCATCATGTTCGATCACATGCTCCTTGCGCACCGTTGCGATAAAAGATTTTTCAAGTTGTTGCAAGGGACCAACTAGACTGCTCAACACGGTAACCGGTTTTTTTGTCTCCGTAATATCCAAGATTTCAGATTCTTGCATTTTAGTTTCTTCAATGGTTAAAATTTGCTCTTGTAAAATTCGTAGAGGCTCGATAATACTTTCGAGGGGTTGCGTATCCGTTTTGACCGATTGTTTTAATTCTGCATTTGTCGCGAAGACTTCGATGACTCTCGGCCGTTCGACGACGACGGAGCAACATTTTTTAAATTCCTCGATAGATTTTGCGAATGCTTGCAACGCGGACGCATTTTCAATCTCTACGATTTGTTGGCCAGCGTTTTCTATCGCATTTAATTGTTGCAGGACCACTGTCGACGTTCTCAAATTACCGAGTGATTTTGCAAAATCTTTTAATATTGTCAAATCATCTGTATTCGCCTCCGCGAGTAAATCTTGAACGATCGTAGTTTGATCTTGAATCACCGCAAGAGATTTACTCAAATTGTCCAATATCGGCTTGATTGGCAATCGTTGCAAAGATTGGGCGATCTCCTGATGAGATGCAATTAAGAAAGATTGCTGTAACTCTTGCAACGGTTGCACTATACATTCTAAAGCAACAAGTTTTATTGACTCTTTTGTTTCCAATGTTTGAGACACTTGATCTTCGAGTTTCAATATTGCACTTTGTAGCCCTTCGATTGGAATAGTTATCGCTTTTAACAGAGAAATTTCTCGCATTTCTTGTTGCATTACATTTTGCTTAGCTATAGCTAGTTGATTCACTGTTTCTTCCACCGATTTCGCAAATGTTAGTAAAGTCGATAATTTTTCAGTTTCAGCAACTTCATCGAAGCGATCGGCAATTTCTTCGATGATTGTTAATGGCGTTTTCAGATTTTCGAAAGCTTCGTTTAAAGTTTTTACTGTAAGACTATCTTCGTTAGAGACTGCTTGCTGCTGGACTACAACAATTGAGTTTCTTAGCTCTTCTAGTACGGGCTTTAAATCCGCACTTGCCAATGAAACTTGATTTCCGCTAAGATCTTCCGTAACTTTCTCCTGCGCCACTGTAATCTGTTGTATATCTGTGATTAATAATTGTTCTAATTTTTCCAAAGGATTTATCACCGTATTTAATTGAACAATCTCTCTTTCCTGTTCTGGTATTTCTAGCAACTCAGCTTTATGACTCTTTAATTCTTCGATTTGAGAGAGTGTTTCACGTAGAATATGAATCGGATCAACAATCTTATGTAAAATTTCTGGCTCAAGCTCTTGATCTTTTTGTTTAACAATTTGCAATGGTGGTACAGATTCTGCTTCTATTTTTATCTCATTAGTAATAGACATAAATCTTTCTCCAAATTGCTCCACTGATTTCGCAAGAGTTTGTAAAATTGTGATCTGTTCAACGCTCGATAACTCCGCTTTTTCCTGAATCAATTGACTAGTTATTGGATCGGATTGGATGCACGCGATTGACATTTTTAAATCTTCTAATGGTTTTTCGATGGCTTGCATTAAACGCATTTTAGACGTTTTGCTTGAATTGGCTTCGGCTACAGTATTAAGTTGTACTTGCTCTTGAATTGTAGCGATTGATTTTTGTAGTTCTTGCAAAACGCATGTGATAGATAACTTTTCTAACGGCACTGTGTCTTGCTTTATTTCCTCAGTAACTTCGGACGGTAATGCAACTTTTAGAGTTAACAACGGTTCTATCAGAGTCGAAAATGCTATCGTTTTCTTGTCAGATGATTCTAAAATTCCTATTTCTCCGATTTCGTCGAATGATTTATGCAATACTTGAAGAGGAGAAATAATTGCTTGCAAAGTTTCAGCTTTTATTTGTTTTTCCTGCATTTCATATTTTTCAGATACTTGAGTTAATTCTATTTTTTGCTGACTAATCGCTCCTAAATTTTGCTCTTTGACTTCTTCCAAGGATTCTGTTACAGACTTTATCACTTCTTTCTTCTCAGTAAGTATTTCTCCGATTTGGCTAGATGCTGGTGCGGATGTCAATTCTTGTTGCGGTATTTCTACTGTATCTTGTGCCATTGAATCGTCTGCCTTTTTAACGAGTGTTTCATTTAATTGTGTTTCTACTTCCATCAATTGTAAATTGTCGATGCTTTTTGATTCGATCGAATCGGCGGAAGGCGAACTAGATTCGTAAAGCGAAGTTTTGTCGCATTTTACCTGATCCTGAGAATCCATAATAGCTTCTATCAGTTCTTCGAGAGGTCGCGCAGTCGTTTCTTCAATATTATTTGCTTCCTCTTTTATTTTCAATTTTTCTGTTTCTTTCTCGTCAGCAATTCTAACAGATTTTAATATCTGGATCTCATTTATAGATTTAACAGTGTCTTTAATGCACGGCATTAATTCTTTTGCAATTATCGATAACGATTCTCTGTCGACGTATTTGTCTCCATCAAACGTCTGACATATAGATGCCAATATATTTTCAAGAGCATCTAAGGGCTCGGCAATAGATTGTAAAGACGTCATAATGTTCTCCTTTAATTCTGGTCTCACTCCTGCGTCAGTCAAAGAAATAACCGTACCGATAGCTCGCTCAAAATCAGTCAGGATATCTTCCATACGAGAAAATTTATTATCTACTAGTATAATGGACGAGGAAGACAATGCCGTCTTAATAGAAATATTTGTAGCTTGTAAATCGTAAAGAATTTGTACCAATGCTGTTAGCTCTTGTATTTTTCGCTTGTTCTCCTCGGATTTTGAAGTCAGCGATTCTTGCGTAGCGGATTTCACGAAATTGATCAGTTCTCTCAACGGCTGTGCCAGGCTATTTATCGCAGAGTTGAACTTTGACATCTGATTTATCAAGTCTTCTCGTTTTTCATTTTCTTCCCGATTCTCCTCATATTTTGTATCCGCTAGATTATCTTCCGTTTGTTCAATATGGATCACCGCTTCTAGATTTTCTATAACCGGTGTTTGTGTTATTTTAGGTGTATCTTCAATCTTCGATTGAGCAACCTCTTGAACTGCCGATGGTATTTCCGTGATCATTATTACGCTCTCAATTTCCTCTTGCGATATTTCTATAATTTCATCAGTGACACTTTCTACTTTTGTGATGACTTTGCTCTCTTTCTGTTCGATTATCTTCTCTATTGTCATTATGGAATCTTTCACGTGATTTAAGACATCCGTAACGGCACAAAAGGTTTCTACGATAGGCGCTCCTATAGAAGCGCCTCTTTGTATAAGTTCCGCTTTATGCGCCGACAAAGAAGAATTTAGTTCTGAGATCGAATCGGCTAGTTCTTGAAACTGAATTATTAAATTATGTGAAATCGCCGACGGTATTTTTTCTTTAAGAATATTTAACGCCGATAGAAGTTGATTAGTCGGATAAAGAAAGCCTTCTACAATTGCCTCTTCGTCAATTGATTCACTATCAATCTGAATAAATTGCATTTGCGTGAAGGAGATTTGTTTCTGCAATGCCTCCAAGCATTTGGATAATATTCCATATGTATCTCTGTCAGCGTGTTCTTCCACAGTTATTATAGCATTTGCTAAGCGATTCAACGTTCCAGTAAGTCGATGCTGAAGAGAAATCTTGACACTACTAGATCGGCGCGAATAATCAGTCTTGCCGATTTGCTTCTGTACTTGCAGAATCGCGGAATTAAGCGACATCAAAGATTCATCGAATAGAGAGGCTTCTTCCATATTCGCGATTGCTTCGACAGTATGACAAACTTTTTTCCGCAAATCATCCACCGCTCGCAGGATAACGTTTCTTCTTTCGTCTAATAAACTGGCTTCGGGAACCAAACTTCGTCGAATGCTCTGTATCATTGAAAGGCAGGTATGAAATTCTATCAAAGGTTCGAGAAGATTTCGTAATTCGTTAATTATTGGCTCTCGTCGATTTAGCGTATCTACTTCTTGGATAGCGGTCTTGATATTTTTTAAAAGAGCGGCAATTGGCTTTCCCAAAATATTCGCGACATCCGTCTCGAGGGTTTCTTCCGCAGCTTTTTCCAGATCGTTCATACGCTCTACAATGCTATCTAGAGGCTTCGAGATATCTCGGAGACATTCCAAAATTTTTTGTTTTGATGATATTTCTTGAATTCGAGTGGGAATTTCTGCTTTAATGTCTTTTAAAACGCATACAAGAAATTCAAACTCTTTCTCCGTGTCTTCATTTTTATCGACAAAATCAATTGCTTGTTTTATCACGTTATTTTCTATCACATTCAACAGTGGCGTTAATTGATTCAATATCATAAGTTCCGAGACATCATGTTTGCATGGTCTGGAAAGCAGTTCTTGTATATTTGTTAGCGGTTGTGTTAAATTAGTTAACACTAGAATTGTTTGATTAACTTTTTCTTCAGATGATCCAATTTCTTTATCGTAAACGGTGGTTATCATGCGTATTGTAGAGATGGTCCTTCTCAATTCTTCGAGAAAATTGGCTAATTTTGATTGGGGAATCGTAGCGATTCGCGTTGCCGATTCCTCGAAATCTTCTAAAATACTAGTAATCTCTAATTGAAGCTTCTCCAAGGTTTCCGACAAGACTGTAATTAATTTGCCCGCATTCTCCTCTCTTTTTTGCTTGTCAGCCTTTACAGCCTGTAGAGCGACATCGTCAACTATTTTGACAGTATCTTCTATTACAAGTTGTTCAATAGGCAATGTAGTGGATCCGGTTTCAAATGGTGTAGACGCGATTTCTGTAAGAGTGCCTGGAATTGTTTCTCGGGAAGAAACTGTAATAGCTTCTTCTTCCTCTTCCACATTGAATGTTTTGACAGATTGTCCAAGTTCTTGCTGGTGGAGAGCATCTTCGATCGAAAGCGGTATTTGATTTTCAATTTGTTCGACGATATCTACTATCGATTTTAAACGCTCTTCTTCCGCATGTTCATGAAGAATGTCCGTGATAATATGCAAAAGATGTTTCATAGGCTGACCTAAGTTCTCTAAAGTCAAGAGATCTTCCGGCCTGTGATATATAGAAATAGCATTTTTAAGTTTTATTAATGGTTCTCGAAGATCAATCAATGCTTCTATCAAACTTTCATCATTTGGTGGTTCAGAATATGACGTTTGAATGGCAATTTGAGTGACGTCTCTCTTCAATTCCTCGATCGTTAAGCTTAGAGTAGATTCTATTTCGTCCTTTGTACTGTCTTCAGACGTGGATAACCATTGTTTAATAGGTTCTAAAGAACGGCTGATTTGATTAGCGAGAATGCATTTTGAATCGCTTTTCTTTTCCGTATTTTCTCTTCGAGCATTTTCCTCTTGAGATTTTTTCTTTGATATTTCTTTTGCTACAAGAATTACATCTTTCTCTATTTCTTCCAATAATTTTATCATAGGCACTATTAACTCGACCGAAGAACCGCTTTCCGTTATGCTGTGAATTATCTCTTTCAATTTATTGATGGGATTTATCAAATTAATTAGAATTTGCTCCTCTTCTGGTTCATGTTTTTCCGTTAATAAATTTTTTTGCAGATTTAACAACGGATCAGTTAATTCATTAATCTCTTGAATTATATTATTATCGATTGGATTGTATAAATTGGCTATTGTAATCGCCGAAGAACCAATTGTCTGACGTAACGCTTCAATACATGTAATTAAATGATATGAGCTTGCAGATTTTTCTTGCTTTTCTAAAACCGATGATAAAGCGAAATGCACGCTGCTTAAACTTTGATCAATGTTTAGGTTTTTTAGCACGTGTTTCTGTACAGCTTCCATCTCTAACAATTGTTCCATCAATTTTGATATTTGCTTATTAGTATCTTCCAATATCTGAAGAATTATTTTTACTCGCGCAATTGTTTCAGGATTTTTGGAATTCTTTAGTATTGTTACAATGACATTTTTCAATTTTTCAATGGCAAAGATAATTTTTTTCAGTAACGTAATTTCCCAAAAAATATGTTCCTCTGACGCTAAAACTACTTGAAGATCTAACAAGGGTTCTCTAAATTCCATTAAACTGTTTAATGTCTCATTTTCTTTCAACGTCATTGCAGTATGTGCTGTGTGGGATACGCACTCTCTTAACTCTACTAAACACGCCGCGAGTCTCGATCCCGTTAAAACCTGCTGCGGAGCAGCAGTTCCGTTCATAGCGAGTTTTGAACATTCCATGTAATCTAAAATCGCATTAAACGCCGACTGGATATCGATTAGTATATCTAGAATTTCCTCGGGTATTTTTCGAGTTTCGTCAGCAATTGATTTTATCGAGGACAATCCTTCCGTTTCAATAGGAATGTTACAAATGCGCTTGTTGATTTTTCTTAAAATCGTCAGCGTAGGCTGTAAAGATGACAATCCGAGATTTTCGACGATGTATGACAACTGAAGGATCGATGGTTCGAGAAAATTGCGTATAATTTCTATGTCCTCCGCTGACGTAATTTTATCAATAGCCTGCAGCAATGCATGCAGAGGTTCTTCGAGATCGATTAAAGTTTCGATTTCCATGTTCTTTTCTTTTGAAATTTCCAATGTTTGATATACATCGTTGACTCGCTCGCGAATACTGGAAAATCGTGGTACTAAAGTATCGGGAACTTTTTCATACGTTTCCAAAGCTTTGCGCAGGACCATTCTTGATTCTAAAAGAATATCTTTTTTCAGTTTTCGAGTCTCTTCCAAAGTATGTACGTTAATAGCTTCCGTCACGCTTGTTAAATTATCTAACAGTCTTTCTTCAGAAAATGATTTCTTTATCGTCTCTTTTGTATCGATTCCATTTCCGATATCCATTCCTGTTTCGTCAACCGATTCTATAGATTGATACGGTTCTATTTTCACATCGGCTCTATCTTCTGATTTACTTCTTCTACCCTTGTAATCACTATGGTCGGAATACTCCTCGGAATTACTCTTGTCTTTTTTCTTTTTTTTGTTTTTACGCTGTTTCTTTTTCGGAACACCAGTCATGGAATCGAAGGAGGAATCACCACCGATTCCATCGTCCAAACTGGAGCCGGTTGATCTTTCAGCGCTCAAACTACGTTTTCTAGCATCTGTTATATCATGTTCCGCTGTGATATGTTTTTGAATGAGACTTTCTGTGATGGAGAGATGCGCAGATGATAAAGCGTCCGCGAAAGTGTCGCTATCGTCTTGCTTGAAGGATGAGAGCGGAGACAATGGCGGCTCGTCCTTTTGAGCGCTATGGAAGCTCTCGGATTCGATTCGTTGGCTCTTCTCGCTTTTCGATGACGATATACTCGTTGATTTTTTCCGAGGTGGCTTACTAGGAACTTTCTCATCATCATCCCCGTTGTATCGAGCTGATCTCTTTAAAGAACCTCGGGAATCGCGTTCAGGCGACGAGAGGACGTGCGTCACATCATCCATGATAGAAACATCCTCGAAATCGGCTTCTGTCCGTAAATCATCGCCTTCTTCGGCGCTAACAAAGTAATCAGGCGACACGTCGATTACTACGGCCTCCATCAGCAAATTACCGGACGTAGATGTTTCTTTGACAAATCTCATTGGCGGTAGTTCGATCACATTGTGTTCTACACAAGAACGCATTATTTTTTAGCATATAATTATAACAATATTATTACATTATTATGTATAATCAATATAAAAGTTAAATAAATTCTTACCTGTTACATGTTCAGACAACTGATCGGCATACATTTCAACAATCTGTAGCGCCTCTTCCTCGGTGAGATCGGGTGTTTCGTATAGACTGACCGACACTTCTTTGCCATCAAAACTAAAGGACACTTCGCCACGGTCATCCAAAGTGACAGAATGATCTGTCTGCGGTGTATCATACAACTGAGAAGTTCGTTCCTCATGTATTGTTGACAACGATAGATTCCTTGCCAGTTCGTGGCCGTTTGGCGACTGAATCTCCTTGGTTTGTTTTTTATCTGCGACATTGCAAATCAAATTTTGTTTCTGTTTAAAATGTTCACAGCTTTACAACGCGTAACAATTACACGGTCGCAAAAAACATTACTTTTTTTTTAATTTTCTTAGAAATTACATGAGAATTATATAGTTAAAAATTATTACGTGCAAAAATTTACCTTCAAATCCTAATAAAGATGCGGAACTACTGACTGTTCCCATGCAATTGATAGCTTCGCAAGTATAAGTTCCTAAACAGCAGGTGCCGTCTTGCCCGGAGATAATTCGGTGTATGTCGCCGGGTTTGAGTTCGACGTTGTCTTTGTACCATTTTAAAACCGGCTGCGGGACGCCGATAACTTTGCATTCTAAATTTACCGCGCCTTCTTCTGACAGAATCGCGCGCAGACTCTCGAGAAATTTCGGTTTTTTGTAATGTTTGGGAATGATTAACTTCAAGAAACAGGAGGTGACGCTATGACCAAAATCATTTGCCGCTACGCACTTCCACTCGGCCTAGAAGAAAAATCACTCATAAACGTTTCTTACATTACGGCAAACGATAATTATGTACTTCGCGAATACTCACTTGATCGATAAATTCGAGTTTTCGCACTTCGAGATGGCATGTGCCAAGATTCTCCTTCGCCGCGTGATATTTGTCGGATTCCTCCACTAATGCATCGTCTCTATACCAAGAAAGACTCGGTTCCGGTGCAATACTTACTAAAAAAAAAAAAAAAAAAGCAACATCAATGCGATTTAAGTCTGCGCGTGATAGGAAAGCAATTGTGTGTTCATTTAATTAATTAATTAAATTTATTTAATAAATTTACTGCCTTTTATCTCCTTCGTATGATTTATTTATTTAAAAAAATAGGCAAATATAAGTACCTTGTACTGTAAAGCGAAAATCTTCGTTTATCTTCGCCTCGCAACTTCTGAGACCTTTTACAAACTTTGGCGGCTGATTAGTGCTTAAAAGCTGAAAACGTTCTTCCTCGTTTAATTGATTCTGGATGTCTTCGATAGTTAATTCAGCTGTACTCTTGGCCTCGCCCATGCAATTTCTCGCGATACAGCAATACGAACCTGAACATTATCGGGAGAATGTGTAAATACATATGAAAGACAGGAAGGAGAGTATGACCTACCTAATGAATTAGTCCCGGTTAATTGATAGACGTCTCCTGGCTTAAGTTCCTGACCGTCTTTAAACCATCTTAGCAACGGCGTCGGAAAACCTACGACTTTGCATTCGAACGAGACAAGACCTTCTTCCGTCAAGACTGCTTTCAGATTCTCCATGAAACGCGGTTTTCTATAGTTTCTTGGAACTTTTAAAAAATGAAACAGACGTTGATACGACGATTATGGTTACTTCAACTAGCTATTTATTTTTACAATACGTACTAGACATGGCTACGTAGCAGCTCGTGAATTGCTTCATATTTTCCTCGCTGGTAGCGACGCACTTCCATTCACCCTCGTCCATGGCCTCTACTTGTTTCACTTCCATTGAATATCCACCGATGCCGTCTTCTATTATGTGATATCTTTCGTCGGGTTCGACACGACCTCCTTTGTTGTACCAGGCGATTACCTTCGGCCAGGGTGGTACTTGAACTGTGTTAACGAATACGTTTTATATAGAGATAAAATAAATAACTAATAAAAAATTAAAAAAATTGTATTAATTATAATCTACCTCGGCAGGACAGCACGAGAGTGTCTCCGATTCGGCAACATTCATCTTGGAGTATCTGTTTAAATACCGGAAGTGGCCCGGACGGTGCCAAAGCATCCGCTGGTTTCAGCGAACCTTCTCGGCTTCCTTTTCCGGCTACGTGAACCTGGAATGGAACAACAACATGTTTGACGGTAAAAGCAAAACCGTTACAATTAAATTATTTAAATAAATTAATGGCGAGCGCATTTACCTTTGAAGAAGAATAGGTTGTTCCCATACAATTATTTGCTTCGCAGGTATAAACACCAAGGGAAGTCGGGTCATCGGGATTGGCGGTCAAAGCGAAAACGTCGCCGGCTTTAATTTCCTTGCTGTCTTTAAACCACCTTAGTACTGGCGTGGGCACACCGATTACTTTGCATTCCAATGACACCGTACCCGTCTCAGTGAGCAACGCGCGAAGTTCTTCGACAAATTCTGGCCTTTTGTAAGCCTTGGGAACTAAAGTTTAATCGAATCTGCGATTAATCAAGGCGTGTTGAGTGTTAAGATATCAATTAAACACCGAGTGCAAGATTACCGATAACAGTTAGAGTAGATGTGCACGAGGATCTCCCGCTACGATTCTCCGCCATGCAGGTCCAGCATCCTTGATCCTCGACCGTGACGGGAGCAACGTCGACGCAATGAAAATTCCCTTCGTGAACGAGGGAGAATCTGAGTCCCTCATGAATAGGTGAGTCATCTTTATACCAAGATATCTGAAATTAATAAATTTAATTTAATCATTGTAAGAATGTCGTTTGATCAGTCTCTTGATATTAATTTATTTTAATACGCGTACGTTAACTATTTGCTGTAACAAAATGCTATAATACAAACGCTATAAACGCTGTTAAGCTATTTCGCGTATGGCGGAAGAGACATGCGAAGGAATATCGGAATATATAGTCCCTGGCACATAGTATGCGGGCATGCGTAATAATAGTATTAATACGACGCACAAGAAGACGCGTAACCAGTTTCCTTTACTCTTCACCGTCTTTCGCCGTAAGTTCAGGTCATGGACCTCCCAGTGCCCGTCTTAGTTCGCCTTTCCCGTTTCGTCTGGTACTGGGATAGAAGAAGGAAGAGAAATGCTTGACAATAAGTCACCGCTGGGACCATCAGTTCCATCTTCCGGGTTGATCGCGATAGTTGGCACAATATATTATCTGCCTATCTTAGGTCAGGACGTCTCTTACGTCATGTTACAAACATGGCTATGGTGCCAAATGGTAAATTATTTTCTTGGCTCATTAAAATGTACACACAAACTCTTTGTCTAATCAAACTAATATTCACAAAGAAAACTGTAATCGCAGTGCAATATATGCGCGATTAATTTATTCTTTTTTTTAGTACTTATCGCTGTGTATTTATCGTTATATATGAAATCGTACCTTCGGAGTGGTTGAACTTCGAATCTCTATCAGAAATCTGGTTCGAGTGCCGACTTTAACCGCAAGATCGCTCAATCTTCTCAAGAAGATTGGGGGATCACCCTCTTCGTAACTTGCTTCGCTGACACTTAGGTGAATTTTCTTTACAGCTCCTTTATCGTTTTCTTGTCCAAGTCTTGTTGCTACGAGAGAATAGTAACCCGTATCGTTTTTACGCGATTGCTTCAAGGCCAATTGCACGACATTGCCTCGCATCGACAATCGATATCGATCCGATGAAATTGGCAATCCGTCTCGTATTCTGTAAATTTGGTAAATCAAACAATATTTAGTTCAAACAAAAATAAGGAGAACGGAGAACCTCGTGCAATTCTTTGTCAGTAGTAGAGGGATATGCGATAATTTTATAATTTATCAGATGTCAATAGATCGGCCCGGAAAAGTAAATTGTTGCAAAATTATTTAAATATAATAAATTTATTATTCATCAATCTAATTTATGAAGCACATTCATTACGCTGCCTTTCGGGACATATGATTAATGTCCAACCAGATAGATCGTTGCTTTTGCTGAATCTATCATTTCTTTATTAATATTTTTGATCCGCACGATTCGGATTGTCTTGAAATTAATTAAGATCAAATTTTACGATTTGCGCTTAATTTTATTTAATTCGATTTAAGTAAAGTTATACTTTTTTATGTATATATTAAGAGTAAATAAATATATATATATATATAATAACTTTTTAATTAATCTCTCGCGTAATATGTACCAAAATTAAATGCAGCAAATTAAATGTTAGAATGAATGAAACAAAAGAAAGATTATTATACTTTTACTATGTGTCGCTGCGATGACAATCTGTTATTTTGTTGTGTTCTTTATATGCGTTCTTACGTCTACGTAAAAATATGCTACATTGGCCAGGCATATTTCGAGCATACAGAATGATCTAGAGTCTTGGCATTGCTCTACTGCCCTATTTTTATCATCTTTTTCGTCGTGTGACGGGGGCTTGTTTAAAACTAAAAGAAAAAATCTAATAAGCACGATCTATTGATTGTTTCTGACGTAAGACCGGCGAGAATCCATTGACGCGACGCGACGTCACGCCACAATATAATAAATTCTTTTTTTATTTACTTTACGTGTCTTTTAAGCACGTAATATTAAACATGTATTTAATCGCATTTACATGCATTTAACAGATAGTCGATATATGTAAAGTGTTCAAGAACACGAGCGAGTATTATTTAGCATCAGCGTCGTAAAGATATAATTGTTTGTAATCTAATATTAGATCAGGAGCTCTTTTTTTATCGTCCTACCGGTATTCCGATCCATCGGAGGAGGATCCAGTAATGGCGCAATTCTTTTTACCATTAGCGCATTTGCAGCAATCACTTCCCATGATGAATCGACAAGGAGGACTACACCTTCTTGTCAGAACATATCGGCGATGATGTAATTGCCATAAATTGCCCACATTCTTTTACAAACAAACATTTCGGCTCGGTCTATCTTTAAACATTTTTTAATACCATTTAATACCCTTCTCACATTTAAAAATGTTTCAGGAATATCAACAATCACGTGGAGAGACAGCACGTTTCTGCCATATGCTTCAGTTCTTTCAAGATATTCATCTCTGCCGCGCATAATCTCCGATTATGACACACTACAACGACCGCGTGAGCGATAAAATTAGCGAGGTACACACACACACACACACATCGGTCGTTCGACAATTTTGACAGCGCGATGGCGCTCTGCAAACTTGTTTAATTAAGTTTGATGCATCGGTATATGTCTCATATTTATCGAGATTAAATTAAAATGCGTAAAATGGTTTACCTTTTAATCTTACATAATTAAGTTATGATAATATAATGACAACTCGGCTCTTCTGCAATGTCTTTGTTTTTCTTTCGTTCTTTCATGTCATTATCTTTACATGAACTTTTATGTTTTTCAGATGGTTCTTTATCATCAAAGACAGAATCTGCGGTAAAGAAGCGATTCCTCGCTTATATTTTTCATTGATGATTTAGCGTAATTATTTATTTTTTTGAAAGAAAAGTACACAACCGACATGATTGAGCTCAAAATTTGAATTTCGACGAGACGCGTACCGATGCACAAAATAATCGAATGGTTTAACACCCTTTCTTATCTTTCAGCATCAGACTGATAGCGAGACGCCAACGTCAGACTGTCCCCTCCCAATTTTCCACCTCCATCAACGATTTTGTGTATATAGTTTGAAGGAACCGCGTAAGCAACGGACTATCTCATATAGAAACTAGCGAGAGCCAACCGTGGAATATAGTTGGACCGGGCAAAGGCATCGGCGTCTCTTTCGTCTTTTAGCGGAAATTTCGAGCGCGGTCGGAATTAGCTTACATAGAGTTACGTCCTTGCGCGAGGAGAGACTAAGAATTCAAGATTTTCGTAATTTATTTATATTATTATGGTGACGTTGATGGCAAACCATCTATCGCGACGATTAAAATATCTCGAAGAAAGAAATTTAACGATTGTATGCAATTACATTATACAGGTACATGATTTTTTATGTCATGCGCAAAGTGCAATATAATTCGATAAATATAATATAGATAATATTTCGAGATGCATTTATTTCCACGATTTGTTAATCTACCGATCGTGGAGTTTATGAGACTTTTTTTTTTAAATTAATGATAGTTATGCGTTATTAATATTTACCTAATATAGTTGATCTTATTCAAGATACATAGGTAGATGAAATCATATTCGCGAAATAGGTTCCTATATGATTCAGACTGGAACGTACTGCGTCTTTTAAATCAAGCATTATTTATTATCAGTCTGATGACTGATATTTCAAGTAAACTATTATATTATGTTACAATCATATCTCGCTTGTCTTTACTGGCAAATAGTTACTGACGAAACTGAATGTCGAACGTACAAATGTGTTGTTCACGTTCTCCGCATTGCTGGAATGACGATCCATGCACGAATATTGAGGGAAATTATACGCGGCAAGTATAATTCAGTTCTCCGAAATTAAGTGCGCGACAGCTTAAAATAACTCGCGTTTGATCCTTGGCACGTCCCAAGGTCCTATATAAAATTAAGGCCAGTGTATGAGAATGAACGATAACACGAAAATTGATTATTGTTAAAATGTCGCAATACGAGAGCAACAGGTATATATGCGAAGCTGTTTACGCTTTATTCGATAGAGTAGCGTTTGTGTTACACTTACAAATCGAATTGTAAGTCATCGTAACTTTCGGATGAAACCAATTTCAGTTCGACGATGATGTCCTCGCCTATGCGTCCTTGAGATGACACGATCTGATCTTCTTCGATCCATTCTGGCGGTCCTTTATTCCTCGACGTAAGATCTGTATAAGCATTTTATATATTGTTCGTTGCAAATTAATTATACTCTTACATTTCTATGATATTAAAAAAAATTAATTATTAACTTTAATATCAAAGATTTTGGTCATATTAAAAAAAAAAAAGAAATAGTTTATCAATACCCGATAATGAGAGGAAATTTATTGTTGAAAAGCTATCTGCTATTTCGAGATTCACGTGCTTTGCAAAATGGCTACAGGAATGGCGGTATAGTAGAGGTACATATGCAAAATAGTAGCATAAATATAGATGACTATATTTCAGTAAAGTGTGGTAAAGCGGAACCACTTAAGAAAATAAAACGTAGCCGATCTATAAATCTTTACGATCGTATCTATCTTCCGAAAGAAGTCGCTGCTACTTCTAAATTTTACGATGCAAAGTACGCTCGGAATTTCGATCAGATGCACCTACGCATGTCCAGATTGCACCATTAACATAAATAAATATTTTCACGTTTGCTTAACAAAAATTTTTTGGCAAACAACACCGTCGATATTTATATTGAATCAAAACACTATGATTCGGCAAAGAGATCAATTATGATCTCGTTAAATGTATTTTAAACCGTGTAACCGCGATTGTGCGTTTTACATCAGTCGTAAAATACCGCGAGATATATGTAAGCTAAATATAAGACAAATTGACCAGCTATCAGAGATAAAATTTGGGAGAAAAGTAAGAGAAAAAAATCTTCGTCATTTTTAATAAGTTTTATACACTATCACTATACGATTCTGAAATCTTTCTACATTAATTTTTTTTGTTAATGAATTCTTCCAGACCAAGTCGTTGATTATAGTTTGTATTCTAGCTTGAGCCTATACATTGATAGTGACAAAGATTTCGACAAAGTTGTACATTTCTATCGCAATATTTATTTATATACTGCGTAATTGCAATTTGTAACAAGCTATCTTTTTTCACTGGCAGGCACGACTAAATATATAAAAATAAGACGCACACACAAAACATAAAAATTTCGCACTTTTTTCCCAAGTTTCTCCGTCAAGTGTATCGTCTTCGATGAACCGGCGGTTCATCACGGCTCGCTGATGCCGGCTAATACCGGCGAATGCGCTACGACAATTAAACTGCGAATCTTACCTGTTAAGGTCATCTCGTCTCAAACGTTACGTACAACGGTCTTTCCGCGCATTGACATTACTCGCGAAGGGCCGACGTACGTACGCGTGTACTACTCAGGAAGACCTGCACCGTTCACCACTACCACCGGCCAGCTTGTTCCTGTCTTGACCCTATATTGATACAGCACACCCTAAGCCACGAGACGTCTGACGGCAGGAGGCCCTGCTCCGTTCTAAAATCGTCCCGACGCCGCGCTCTCGGCTTCGTCGTTTTAACGAAAGAAGCACATGCGCCGTTCGGGATCTACGTACCCTCGTTTTTCCACTCTTTGTCTCTCTTTCGCTGATGTAACTGCGGCGTTCCTATTTTCCACTTTTCCTTTTGCTTTCGACGCGCGAAACTGAAACTTATTTTGCAGACATCTCACAAAAATGCATATTTTTGAGTCGCGGAATTAGGTGAATTAAGTAAGTACGCAGAATTTTCAGAAAATATACAAAAAAAGAAAATTATTATTCATAATACGGAAATTTAGCACGACAGACATTTAAGATTCGCATTTCATATCAAATGAATGCAGTAAATAAAATTTTTTCGAAAGTTTAAATTTTCTCTAAAATAATGTAATTATTTACGTAATAACGCATGACGTATTACGATAATGTGCCAAGTAACGGAATACATAATAAAAAATACGCATAATATTAGAGTTTGGTGAAAATATGTATATAATTTATTAGAGATAAGGAATTATATATTTATTATAAATATAGCGGATAACAATAACAAGTATCGATCAAATTACATAGGAAGGATGTCATAAATAGTTTGCAATTCTCGATATATTATATCGTTTCAACGTATGATATATTATTTCTTTGGCAATCATTTAGCATAGTTTGATTGGTAAACATGATGTACATAAAATATATATGACCATTTAGTTGCGTACACACACATCGATCGATCAAGGTTTTTTGGTGGACCGCCACCAGCGACGTGGCATCCACCCGTGTATTTCCTCCTGTATTCTTCGATATAGAAGCAGCACGATAAACGGAACCGCCAGGGTTTCCTTTTTAAAGAAATAAACGTACATTGCGGCCATCAACAACGTTAGGTCGGTTATGTAGTCTACTGTCGATCTGACTGTGTTTTTAGCTTCCAGAGCTAACTGCTTGCCATCTGTCCGTTCGGGGGTGCTTTTCCCGGCAATTTCTTTGGTAACTTTGGATTCTTTTTTCATCGCTCGATACTTGTTACTCTCGAGTGCTTTTTGCAGCTTCTCAACCTTTGATTCCACTGACGCCGTTTTTCCAAACCTCTCCCTAGAGTTCGATCTCGATGAGGAACGTGAGGAAGAGCCGGAAGGTATTTTAGATCTACGAGAGCCTTGTTCGTTTAAATCGTTTTTCGCTAATGATCGATTGTTTCTTTCCAGAGAAGGTGTGCGATTCCGAGTTTTTGAAGATGATCTCGACGAAGCGCCTGTCGTTCGTTCCTTTCTCCTCGCAGCTGGAGATTGGTCCCGGGAAGTCGGTCTACTTACGCGCTTCGCAGTCGTCGTATCTCTTGCAGGAGTCGTGCTTCTGGAATTAGCGCTTTCTTTTTTAGTAACCGCTGGTGCTTGATTATTTTTTGTCTGTTGTTTGACTTTATTCTTATTTTTAATTTTTGATTTCGATATCTCGTCCTGCTCTTGTTTATCTATCAGTTTTGGCGCAAGTTTTTCGTGCACTCGGTGCCTTTGATCTGCTTGATCCTCGGAAATGGAAGATCTTCGAGAACTGGCTGCGCTACCGTGTCGCGAATGACTCGCGTACTCCCGAACTATCTCGGTGTACTGATTCACGACCGCCATTCTAGCCTCTGTTTCAGCTGCCTCTTCATCAGGCGTCATGGACCGCAATTTCGATTGCATTCGACGATTTTTCGCCGCTTCTGCCGCCGATAAGATGCTATCTGTATCGGATTCTGACATTGGAGGTGTTTTCAGAACTTCGGACATGCTCGAAAAATCTGTGATTGTCTCCCCAATATCGATATTCATCTTTTCTACATTTTCTCGTTCATATGGCTGCGGTGATATCGTTCTGATTGGTTTTTCGGGAGCAATCGATCTGCCGAAATTATCCGGAGGAATTTCTTCCTTGGGTTTCTTTAAAATAGATTTTGGTACTACATTGTTCAATGAGACGGGAGTAACTGCTCTGACAGGTGGAATCTCCAAACTTGTCATTCTATCGTGCGAAATCTGTGGCAATTGTGGTTCGATGTGTGGAACTGATCTTCCCCTAGGATGATAAGTATCCTCTTCATCCATAAATTGTCTCGCCAATATCCTTGATTTTAATAATTTCAAGTCCTCGCTATCCGCACTACTAATCTCTTCCGATGATTCTTCGGAAGTCTCGACGCTAATAATTTCCTCCTCTTCCACTTCCTTGGCTCTATTTACACTAATGGAGGCTACCATCCCCTCTGCATCATCCGCTCGTATCGATTTCTCTTCTTGTACCTCCTCTAACAGCGGTACGTTCGTTTCATGCCATCTACGCAGACGTTCTAAAGATTCGTTCTCGTCGCTCCTCCTCCAGGAATCCGCCATCGTCGTTTCAGAGGGGAGATTCGGATCTGATCTGGCCTCGACATCCGACAGCAAAGCCGGCGAGAGAAGTTTCATTGTCTTCGGGGCCGCTTCGGTTTGCCCCTCACTCGATCGTCGGCGATCCTTTTTGGCCTGCCACGAAACGATCAAATTTTGCGTCGTGACGCCAGAATTGGATAGGCGTCTTCGAAGCGACGATCGCCGAACGGATTCATCATTTAATAGCGCCAATTCGCCAGTTTGTCTCTCAAGCTGCGTTTTTCGTTTCGCAATCTCGGATGCCTCTTCAGCGGCGACCGCGCGATAGAAACGTTCCATAGCACGTTCGTGAAGAAGCTCGGTAGAGCTGACCGCCGATCGCATTACTTCTACTACTTGATGCCGCGCGCTGAATAATTCCGGAAGAGACAGTGACATCGGCGGCGGTATGAGATCGCTCTCCTCTTCCATCAACTCGATCATGTCCTGTTTGCTACCTAAAAAAGCGAATGCGTTTGTTTAGTAAAATTTATAATGCAATTCTTGTATTTTTTAAAGATCTTTTGTTGTAGAATTTTTCTCGCGTACTTACTTGTGTTTTTAATGCGAGTTTCATGCGACGTGCCGTTCGTCACGGTTACATTTTCCTCTTGCATCTCATCCTCTGGATACAGGACCAGCATAAACTCCGAGCTACCGTGCAATGCGTCCTCATCATCCTCTCGTGACATCTTTTGCAATTGTAGGCTATTCTGCGGTGAAGGTAACATGGATTCATTTGTAATGGCGGTCTGTCTTTTTAAATTCGAATTCAAAGATGATGAAAAATAATGGCTAGCTGTGGTACGATTCTCCTCTCTTTGAGGTTCTTGAATTCTCGGCATCGAGAGCGGAGAGAGGCTTCTTCTTTCTTTTGTCGTAGGTATTGAACGCGGCTTGAAATCTTCTTCAACCGGAGAAGAGACTGTCACAGTTGGTTTCGGCGACATTGTTCTTTCTCTCTTTATAATATCTTGCTACATTGCAAAAAAAATATATCTTTTACCTTCTAATCTATAATAGAATTAGCATATTTGTTATATCCGTTCATTTCTTACCTTATCTCTCGTATCTGCCGCAGTATTCGATCGATCTGCATAATTTCCAAGAGAAACTTGTTGCTTCGTGGAAGCGTGGTCTCTGGATCTGGCTGGAGGAACTGGCGGAGAAACTTCCTTTTCTAAAGTGTCCGGTGCAAATGTCACTCTACTGTCTGCTCTGGACGGCCTGTCCAATGTAGAAATCGGCATTGCGAGCCGTTGCGTTGAAGCTGATCGCTCATCGTATCCAAAGCGATCGCCACTTTCGTCATCTCGCGTTTTAGCTTCTTCCCTCGTTAAACTCCTAGTTCTTTGCGCCGGCGTAGTAAAACTCACTTCGCGTTTGTCGCCGCGAGATCTACTGATCTCCCGATGACTCTGCGATTTTTCGTTCAAAGACGGCGTTACAATTCTGCAAATATAAAGCTATGAATTTATTTCTGCGCGGGTCAAAAAAGATTTCGAAGTAGAGAAAGCCCATCGACGATAAAGTATACCTTCTTTTAAGATCTGGAATGAAGATAACGTCGCTCTCTTCGCTAGGATCGCTGACTCCGTAAGGATTTTCAGCCTTCACCCGAAATTTGTATTCGGAGCCTTCGATTAATTCTGTTAACGTCGCGCTGGTGCATCTGCTCGTCGTTGCTTTAAGCCACACTTCCCAGCCAATCTGAAACAATTGTTGTCAAGTTTCTAAAAATTTACATGAATGAAAATAATATCTCCGATCGCGTACTCTATAGTATTCAATGATGTAAGTCCCGATCTTGCATCCGCCGTCATCCTCTGGTTCTTTCCATGATAATGTCACTGATCTACCTAGAGTCATCGCGACGTTCACTTTTCCGGGAGCAGCGGGCCGATCTGTTGGCAAAAATTAATGGCGCAAGCAACTGATAAATTATATTATACAAAATATTATAAAGAGTCTAAAAAAACTAATATCTAAATTAATGCAACATTATCACGCACCTGTTACAGTGACTAAAAAAGACGCAACATCTTCACCCAATTTGTTCGTAGCTTTGACGGTATATTCGCCTCGATCATTTCGTTTGGCATCTGGTATTTTCAAAACTGATTCACCGTCCATCACTTCAAATACGTGTCTAGCATCCTTGGATATCAGCTCTCCATCGTGATACCAGGTGACAGTAGGCGGTGGCTTACCTGCCAAGGATACCTTTAGTCTGATAGTTTCATCTTGCTCGAAAAGCAGACCGTCCTCATACTGACGCGGTAATCGTATCCGCGGTGACGCTAAATACATATAAATAACATTTAGAAATTTATCAAAATTGCAAAACCATATTTATATATTTTTTTTTGTTAGCATTGTCAATTTATCTAACCTTCGAGAATTAATTTAGCTCTAGTAGCAACGTGACCCGCTCGATTGGTGGCTGTACATTTGATTTCACCCTCGTCGTTAAGCGCAGTTTGATGAATCAGAAGAACGCTCTTTCCATTATCCGTATTGATCCTGGTGCGTCTACTGCTAAAAATCTCGAAACCGTCCTTGAACCACGAGATTTTTGGCAATGGTGTACCGGAGAATTGTGCGATAAACTCGGCCTATACGTGGGAAAAATTATCATTACATTCGAATTTTAGCATACACATCTGTATAAATACATACCTGTTCGTTCTCGAGCGCAGTCGTATCCTTGAGCTCCAGATCGAAATAAGGAGCGCAAGCTGCGGCGGCCCTTTGTAAGGTAACTGTTAGCGGCTCGGAGATTTCGCTCGGCCGCGAAAGTCCGACTGCATTTTGCGCTCTGACTCGAAATTGATAGCGCCATCCTGGCTCGAGACCGCTTAGAGTTAGCTCCGGAAAGGCGCACAGGCCGGGGCTGCTTCGTACCCAGTGAGTAGAGCCCAGTCGTCGATGCTCGACCAAGTATCCGACAATCGCCGATCCACCGTTACTCGGCGACCGCTCCCATCGTATCGCCACAACATCCGGCTGCGTTTCGTCTGTACCCGATATTAAGATAGGTTTGCCCGGTGGAGCTGGAAGGCCTGAGACCGTATGTCGAATGATTACAGATATTACAACAAAATGTAAATTAAAGTGATGAAAATATTGCTTGATCTAAAATTATTATATTAATATTTATTTAATCTTCTTAATGTACGTAAGTATATAAATTTATAAAATTAATATTTATTAATTTATTAATATATCTTCTTTTCTTGATTTTTTTTCAGGGTAAGTGGCACTATACTAATGTCAGCAAGTTCTTGCTAGAACGATGCTTAGGTATGTATATAGAGCAAATTTTCAACATCGGTACGTAAGTGGCGCTCCCAAAATAAAATGCGTCGCGTTTGGCAGTACATTAGAATACAGAACCGGCGCACTGTCTACAAATTGAGCATTTAACACCATTATTTTTTGCCTGTTTTTGTATAACGTGCAATAATCACGCACTGTCTTAAAAATGAGCACCGTAACATAAAAACAGAGTATGATTAATCCAGAGGAATAATAAAATCAATGCACGATCTAAACGTTCTTTCAAACTACACAGATCGACAGTTAATAGCAATCTAATTTTAGATATCATCTCGGTGTCAGAATCGTCTAATCGAATTTGGTTTAACAGTGATTTAAAGATCCCTCTTTATATCTTAAATCTACGCTATTAACAAGTCACAAGATGTGTGTGTTAATTACATTTATCATAAATAGTATTCGATGCTTTTAAAATCACGTAAATAATAATTTTGTTGTCCTAATAATATGTGACTACGGTTTTTCCTTGGATGCACGTTTTTTAAATGTATTAATTAGTAATAGATTAATTGATTAATCTCTTTAAAATGTATTTGCGCATACATTGAATATGACTTATTTAAATTTACAGTTAAATTATAATGTACATTAATTATTTGGATATATTCTTTTGTTGATATATATTTACGAAAAGTTACAGATATACGATAATTTGTTTAAATTTATACTAAATTAAATTATTTGAAACATCTGTCGATGTTTGTTAATTACATTTATCATAAATAGTATTCGATGCTTTTAAAATCACGTAAATAATAATTTTGTTGTCCTAATAAACAGAGAAAAACGCTATGCAAATGCGCTTTGAAATAGAGCAACATTTATTGAATCATTAAATTGATAAGGGCTTCCTTTTTGAGATAAATTTAAACGACATGAAAGTTATCTCTTCAATTTTAAAGATTATCGAGAATCGTAAAATTATATGAGCGAAACGATAGATCGATCTACCTGGACCATCCCAACGCGTCTTCCTCGAGTTGGTGCCAACGGAGATGTTTTTCGGATAATCTTTTGTCGTGGCGTTGCCCATTATCGTGCCTTCTTTTTTTCCTTCTCGTCGAGCCTGGCTCGACGATCACTCCGTCCCTGGCCAGTTTTCCGATCGTTCCCGCACTCCGAGATGTCAAAAGTATCACATTGACAACATTATTTGAAGAATGATCAAATAGCAAAATGATGCTGATCTTTGATGATGACCAACTTGGAAAGAGGGGAAGAGAGAAAGAGAGAGAAAGAAAGAGAGAGAGTGAGAAAGAGAGAGGAAGAGAAGATGAGTGGAAGAGAGACGGCAGGAGGAAAGGAGAGAGATGGACCAAAAAAAGAGAAAGACAGCGAATGTGCTTGATATAGCGCGAGGCTCGATGCAGCACTGGCGAACTTCCCCGTGGTCGTCGACTGTAGCGACGCCAAATCTCTTCAGCTTTCCTCGACGTCTATCTTTGTCCCATTGACATGTTCTTTAACTCTGTAATCTTCTTTAACTCTATATTCTTTCTTCAATATTTTTTTTTTTTTAATTGCGGACAAATATTGTTTGATAATTTTTTACATCGGACTAAGATAAAAATGTATTTTGTATTTGTATATCGTCTCGTAATTTGCATTTGAATTTGAAGGTCTACTGTGTATAATGTATGTACTAAAAATCTCGTCTTATATGATATCGCGTTCGCATCTTATATAATGGAACCACGTGGTAATACAGTACTGCTATGTAAATAAACTTGGAAAGCGGTATCGATATCTTGCCATTTTTTGCCGTAAATTGAAAATCCTAAATGGTAAAAAGTGTATTCTATCTAATTTGATAAATTATTTAATTTAAATATATGTATAATGTATTTAAATAATTAGTAATTCAGTAATTAGTAATTCAAAATAAAATCGTATAAATCGCGCTATAAGTCTTTTACTATATTTTTATCCACATCGATCGCTTCGAGAAACTTTCGCGAAAAAGTGCAGTGTAATGTCACAGAATTGTATGTGACTACGGTTTTTCCTTGGATGCACGTTTTTTAAATGTATTAATTAGTAATAGATTAATTGATTAATCTCTTTAAAATGTATTTGCGCATACATTGAATATGACTTATTTAAATTTACAGTTAAATTATAATGTACATTAATTATTTGGATATATTATTTTATTGATATATATTTACGAAAAATTACAGATATACGATAATTTGTTTAAATTTATACTGATTAAATTATTTGAAACATCTGTCGATGTTGAAATACGTGATGTCATCAGCGTGAACCGCGTAACCGACATCTACGAAGATATCTTCTTATTTTCTCTTTGCAATCTCCGTTACTTCTTGCCTAAAATATTTCTGCACATTTCTAAAGAGAGATAAGGAGTAAAAAATGCGATACCGGAGAGACAGAGAGATGAGAGGAAGGGAAGGGCCGGTGTGCGTAAAGGAGGGGGAACACACGGTTAATCGGTGCCAAAGTACCGTTGTATCTGAATGGACCAGGGATGGCTTTCGGTTTACCTGCAGCCTCCGTTGCGGCTGCAGCTCCGCGCTGCACCTATCGCGCTCGTGTACATTCTATATAAACGCACGTGTGTACACCTATATGCATGTGACAATTCTTTCCTTTCGTTGTTAACGCGGGACACGTGCGACAGCGACTCGAGTCAATCCAAGGCGCGACAAGTTCCCTCGTTGGTCACGTGGATACACAGATGCAAAGCACCTGGAGCCGAAACAGCTGTTGGCTAGTTATTCCCATATTTCCGCTACAGATTTGAAGTGCATACTATGACGTGTGCTGCGCCTACGCAATGTTTGGTCGTGACACTTTGCAAGTGATACGGATACGGTTCAACATCACTGGCTTGATCGAAGATCGGTGAAACCGTTAATTACAGTTATAATTCAGACATTCGTGCGTAAAATTTTTCAAAGAGTGAAAAATATACGTTTGACAATTGTACGGATTGTTTTCTTTCTGTGGAATAAAGATAGAATTTAAATGTATAAATGTTTGATCAAAATCATTTTCGACTACTTGAATTGTCTACAAAAGTGCATATTATTTAAATGCTGATATGTATGTGTTTGTGTGTGTGTAACCAAGTAATAATGAAATATTTAATGAAACAATTGTGAAATTTATATATAGTCGGCAAATGTGATCTTTTTTCAGATCGATCACGGATATCTGTAAAAGACTATTTGAAATGATTTTCTTTTACAAGCAATTATAGAGATGTCTATGAAAAATTTGAAAGCAATAGATATCCTGGAGGCTCTAGAATCGAAGCTCGCATATATTCCAGGTGGTCGTGATCGTGACGGACGGCCTTTAATAGTAATTAGTGTTCCTCCAGAACTTGATCCAACAACAAAACCAAAATTAGAATCTCTCATTTTATATTTTCTATCAATTTTCAGGTATAGAATATCTCGATATCTCACTGTACATATTTATAAATATATATGTATATTATTAGTTTATATACACATATAGATAATATTTTTTTTTTAAATTGATTAGCGAAGAGACGAAAGGAAAGGGCTTGGCTTTAATTGTGGACGCGCGTCGCGGTGCATGGCGCGTAGCTAGATCCTGTATTAGGCTATCCACGAATCTCGCAGGATCAACAGCCGTTTCTGTGATCGTAGTCCGACCCGATGGTTTCTGGGACAAACGTGTTGACAGTTGTACTAAGTCGCACAAGGAGGGCGAAGTTAGTGAATAAATCAATCTGATAAATATATTTATTGCAACTTTATTACATAAAAAAAACATAATCAAAAATCTATTTTTATTTTCTCACTAATTTACGTTTTAGCCAATATACGTTACTTTAACGAGACTGCACGTTTATATCGATTTTTCTCAATTACCGTACGAGTTGGCAGGTAACAAGGCATACAATCACGTCGAATGGATTAAAAAACATATGGTAAATTAAACAATATTACCACGAAATAAATAAATATAAATTATAAATACAGGTGATATGTTAATATCTTGATACATTGTGATTTGATTTTGACTTAATAGAAAATAGAAGATTACTCGAGAGATGCTTTAGAATTAATATCGAAAATGACAAATTTACATCAAAGACTGAATACTCTTGATGGTATTCGTATGACGCAATCAGACGATGATATAGAATCTTATTGGGAGATTGGTACGGAATTATTATCAACGGCGCGCCATATACTCCAATCAGGTCTATATATTATTTTTTATTTAAAATTTTTCAAAATTAGAATTATACTTGAATATAAAGTAATAAATACATATATAATATTAGTAACAGTTTAATAATTTCTTTTAAATAAGACAATATTTCTTATGTAAAAATTATGGAAAAAGTTAGGTAAATTTTGTGTTTGCTTGTTGTAGGTAGAAACCTAGTCAGTTCTATGAGCAGAGAGTCCTCCAAAGATACTTTGGACATGATTAAAGAAATCCATAAGCTGCTCGATTCTATCGAATTAAAACAGGTATTTAAATTTATTTAAGACTTATTTATTTAAATTTGTTTTTTAATTAATTTAACACGTTTACTTTTTTAGATGGATATTGAAAATTCGTGGATAGAAATGGAACGAAATCTCGATACTGCCAGAGTAATCGAAGATCTCGAGCAGGGTGTATCGAGCGTTACCGATTGGATCTTGGGTCCAGCGGATATGATGCTGAACTCTTGCTGTCAGGTTGGTTTTGATGTTTCTTCCTCCGAGGAACTGCGAAGACAGCACGAAAAGCTTGAGCTTCAATGCCGGGTAAATAAAATCTCATTATTTTTCATTTTATTATAGAGAATTGTGATAATCGAAGATAATCATAACGTGTGTTTATAGGAAACTTATGGGAGATATGCAGAATTGCTCCATAAAATTGATAGTCTCCCAAAAAGCAGGCTACCCGAAGATTTAAAATCTCAGAGAGATTTCATGGACTTTGTTTGTCGTAGTTTTGCTTCACGACTCGAAAGACGTAGAAATGTATTGATCACTTCACAAAGATTCTTCAGGCTTGTTTCTGAAGTAAGGAATAATCGGTCGAATAATAATATCACTTAAAAAACGGGTTTTTTTTTTGTAATTTGTTGTCACTTACAGTACTTTGATAAGACGAGTGAAGTATTTGAGCAATTAGTCATGGGTAGCAGAAATTATAATTTCTCTCAGGCGAGCGTTAAGCTCTTAACATTAGAGAAAAGTCAAACAGTTTTAGGTAAGGGAAAAAAACACGTCTCATCAGATATTAATATTTTTGTTCGATTTTATTCAATACGTTTGAATAATTTTCCAGATAGTTTAGAGCGCGAGCTCGTAAAGGAGGGCGAAAAATTGTCGGATATTCTCTCTATGCCCGTGAAGGATGCGCTTGGACGAGAAGTTTGCGTGAATTATAACGAAGATATCGTTAATGTAAAAGATATATTAGACGCAACAAACGCCAGGAAAAATATCTTTAACGATAGCGTGGAATTACAAAAGCTGTCGTTGAAACAAGTAGCCTTGATACATATGTATGAGAGCGATGCCGAACAAGTGAGCACGAAATAAGACGTAACGTAAAAAAAAAATATCATAATTAAAAAAAGATGCAAAAGCATACAATATAAAAGTTATATATTTTTTTCAGGCTGTTGAATGGTTAAAGGATCTATTTGATGTATTACTTCGGAATCATATGGAAGTTGGATGTAACACAAAAGAGATACAATCACAGAAAGAGGAACATCAATCCTTTCAGGAAACTGCGAAGGTAAAGCACATTATTAGTGCGATAAAATTTATTTATGCAGTATTGTTGAGTGCAACGTGTCGAAATAAATATTTACAGGGGACTTATGAATACGGTGGTCAGTTGGTGAACGGCGCGCGCATATTGAGACTATCTTGCAGAATATCATTAGAGAGCAACGCTGGTATCTTCTCGAGATTGCGGCAAGCTTGGCGGCAGTTTCGATCCGTTAGCCAGGAGCAGCTAACCAGGCTGCGAGTATGCGCTGTCTTTCACAGGAATGTTGAAGATGTACGCAAACGTGAACTAATATTGAATGAATATGCAAATCCAAAAGAGTAGCTCAGGCTGCTTTACTAGGACAAAAAAAAATTATTATTTTGCATGTCATGTGTAGTCATATATTTTTTATAAACTTTCTCTTTAATCTGTTTAAAGCACTGTATCAGATTGCAAAACTTGGTGGAAACGGTGACGATCTTGTATCGTGCTGCAAAAGACGAGGATGCAACAGCAAAATCGCGTATCAGGACAGATATAAGAGACATCCTTGATAATCGAGAAAAACTTTTATTGGAGGTTGGTCGA